AAGACAGTGATTTGAGAATGAATTTTCGGTTGATAGTGAGCCTGAACATGCGGGGTTAGAAATAAAAAAAAAATAAAAAAAAATTCTCCTAAATTGGTGAAGTATGATGAATTTACTGATTCGCCGGCCATTTTCTTTTGCTGTTCAACGATTCTGCCATCGGAGCCTCTCCTCTTCCCTTCCATGTATTAACTTGCGGTTCTCTTTGCAGCTCTTTTGTTTGTTTTCACCACATTTTAGTGACTGTAATGTTGATTCATGTTGTCATGTGGTTCACAGATGTTAATGATGAACAGAAAGCGAGTCGTATGGAAGAGGGTACTAATATTCATCCGTCGGCGGTTGTTCATCCGGGTGCCATTTTAGGGCAGGTAATGACATTGTTTTTCAGTAATTTTGTGATGGCCGTTTTTGAGGTCTTTCTTGGTTGCTTTCTGTATGATTGAATGAAGTAGAAAAATATTGAAATTTCCTTCTATTTGTGTATTCATCGTCCTAGAGAATCCGCATGTGTTGGATTAGTAAGAGGTTCCTTTTCCGGTGAGTTAAGGGATCGAATTCCTTTGGCTGCATATGTTTGTTTCTGTTTTGTAAAAGGTTGAGTGCCATCAAAATAATTACATAGATCATAGTAACTATTCCCAGAGGGAAGAAATTAACTGAGATTGTGCAGTATGGTTCATGGTTGCATGAGAGGAAGAACCAAATGCCTGTAACACACACAAGTTTCTTCTAATATTCTTCAGATGGCTACAAAGAATGTGTGGAGATGGAAATGCTAGTGATATTTTATTGTTGGAAATTGATGCGACAGATTTGGACATTTTCTGCTGTTGATGATTCATGAATATAGTTCTTCTACTTTTATCTGGTTAAAATATCTGAAAGATCTACAAATTGTATGTTTTGATAAAGCTTATTTCTTTAAGCATTTCACATTAAAATAAAAAATATATACCTGAAATTTGATAAAGCCTTATCTAAATGTAGGGTGTTTCCATTGGTCCTTTTTGCACCGTTGGACCTTTTGCGAAGTTGGGAAATTCATGTAAATTATATCCTGGGAGTCATGTTTCTGGAAATACAGAGCTAGGAGATAGCTGCACTGTGATGATGTAAGATAACTGTACCCAATATATCTAAAGACTAGTTTTTTATCCACATTCCAGCTGAACTCAATCTGTCCAAAACTTAACTGGCAGGGGTGCTATAGTTGGTGATGATCTTCCAGGCCGTACAGTTATTGGATATAACAACATTATTGGGTATCATGCTGTTGTGGGCATCAAGTGTCAGGATATGAAATACAAGGTAAGTTGCAAATACAAGATATTTTAGCATGTGGTGGAAATATACCTCTGTATAGAAAGATAAAGCAAAAGCTACTTGAGCAGTATGATAGATTGTATTAAAAATGCATTATTACTATCTCACCTGGAGATTGCTTATTTTATGTGAACTTAGGCGTGGGACAGCAGTAGAAACTTAGGCGTGGGACAGCAGTAGAAACGTGGCGAGCCATTTTATAATTCATACTATCTATATTTTACTTGATGAACTAAGGTTTTTTAGTGACTTCTAACAAAATATGGATTAAAATAGCTTAAAAGGAAAATGAAGAATTTCATTGGAAAAATGCAACATGATAATGGAATTTGAATTTTCAATTGGTAGCCTGCCTTGTTATTGCCATTCATGTAAGTAATATTTTTGCAATTTTCTGTGAGCAAAGATATGCCAGGATGGTTGACCTTATATCTAAGGCTTGTTTAATTTGATAGGTAGTAGTTGATCTTTTTCATCCTGGTGTTATTTTGTTTCTGGTCAGTAATCGGTTTGCTTTACCAGTCTTTCCTTTTCTGTAGTTGGACCTTGTTCAAGTTGAGTTGCATCTTTGCCTGGAGTTTTGAGAAACTTTCGACTTTGTTTTGATATAAGCCAGCAAGTTAAATTACATATACAACAACCCATGACTCATCACATGCCGGAGTTTCTAAACTGGTTTGTAACAATCATCTTAGCCAGGGAATGAATGTTTTCTTGAGATTGGTGACAACAATGAGATAAGGGAATATTCATCTATTCATAGGTCTTCACGTCCAGACGAAAAAACAGTATGTAACAAACTTTGCACTCCTTTAAAATTCATTGAGATGAAGTGCACTCTTTTAAAAACAGTATTCCTTTTTGTCTCTTTAAACTTGTCAACAGGTTATTGGGGATGACAATCTTATCATGGGATCTTGTCACATAGCCCATGACTGCAAAGTGGGTAACTGTAACATTTTCGCAAATAATACTCTATTGGCTGGCCATGTTACTGTGGAGGTGATGCTTCTGTTTTATTTTTTCTTTCCCTGCACACTGTATGGTATTACCACACTTAATTGAATTAACTGAAAATTAAGGTGGTTTAAGTGATTTATTTGCAGGACTATACTCACACAGCAGGGGCAACCGCTATCCATCAGTTTTGTCATATAGGTTCTTTTTCATTCATAGGTGGTGGCTCAGTGGTAAGGATTTCACCGAATCCTGTATCAATTTGTTGTGGCTCTATTTTTTTGTTTTTTCGTTTTTTTTTTAAGTAAGGTTAAGTGCTCTGTTATGGAAAGTCTTGAACGAATGAATCTTAGGTGTACAATTGAGTATATCCTGCTTGCATCACCAGGATTTTTGAAACTATAGTGATAAGCTTCTGTCCAGGAGCACCAGTGGTGCAGTAAGCTGTAAAAAGTTGTGACGCGTGTAAAAAGTGTTCACATGTGTACACCTTGAGATTTTTGGAAAATGAGACTCCCTATAATTTCATGTTGGGAAAGTTGTTTTAAAGGAAATATTGCATTCCGATCTCTCACCACCAACTTTTCATATGCATGACTTTTTTTCTGAATATATGATACCTGTTTTTTCATGGTTGCAAATGGTATGCAACATCATTGAACATTCTAGATCGTTAACACATATGCTAGACTATTCCGCCTTGCAGGCCAGTCCCCTCTTGTGAATCTCCTTCAATGGTTTTCTTTAGAATCTCATTTGTATTTGCGCTGCATTTTCTGTATTAGTTGTTCTGGAAGTTTGAAATTGGACTGCGTATTTGCTGCCCGTAATATCCACAGGCACCCATAGTAATGTTCTGCAAAATATTCTGAAAAGGATAAAGGAAAACAAGACTTAATTTAGCATATTTGTTTTCCAGATAATATTTACACATCCATTTACATTCTTCACATTTCAAGAGCTGTTCAATTTCCTCTGTTAACAAATAAACCCGATTCTTGCAAATTTGGAAATGAAACTTTGATACAGAAAACTGCTTCATGACTCATGTTTAACTTCACTCAATTATAGGTAGTTGATAGTGTGGTGGTTTACTAAAGTTCATTTTATCTCAGCTCATCTCTAATGTTCTTTGAAGGTTTCTCAAGATGTTCCAAACTACACAATGGTCTCTGGCGAACGAGCTGAATTACGTGGATTAAATGTAGAAGGTCTAAGGCGTCGTGCATTTTCTATTGTGGAGGTTCGTTGCAGTCTGGCTGTCTTTTTCTTTTAAAAATATATCATTCTCATTTTTGCTTTTGTATTTAGTTGTTTAATTGTTGTCGTTGTTTCTCTCCAATTGGGTGTTGGATGGTTTAGTTATTCTTCCAATGCAGTTTCCAATTCATATATTGTTCATCATATCTCAATCTTTCAACTGGTCCTGGACTCTAATGTATTGAGAATTCACATATGACGGATTATTCTTCATATGCAACCATTTTTGTCAATTGAGTCTGTAGGAGATTGACAAGCCAAATTTTGCTACGACCTTTTCTTATTTGACTGTGAAGTTATGATGAACAAAGCTACTTCTGCGCGCATATGCAAATCAAAATGGCTTTCTTATGAAGTCTGATTGTCTTTGTGATGACTGGTCATACAATGCCAAAGCTTGGCATGGGTTTCCTACTTATAATAAGACAGCATGTTAAGAACAATGAGCAGAAGATGAAAAATGAAAAAATATCTGCTCATTCAAATCTGGCGAGGAAAACACCTGTAAGCAGATGAAACAGTACATTGGCTATTCTTTTTGGTTCGAACTATCTCTTTTTATAAATTTGAAATGAAAAGGTGTCTCACATTCTACCTTATCAACGTAAAATAGAAAAACAATTAAAACTTTTATTCGTTATATACTCCTGAGTCTGAAGCATCTTTCCTATGTTGTCATTTTTTTATAGTCTTATGAACTAATCTTCCCATCCTTTTCCAGATAAGAAGCTTGAGAATGGCTTATAGAAAAGTATTTATGCCTAGTGATGGAAATTTACATAGTATTGAAGACCGTCTGAGTGAATTGGTATAGTACTACTCGAGTGCTCTTCTTTTCCTATTCTTTTTAACTACAGTAAATTAACTTCTATCTATTTTTTTCCTGAAAATGTTTCTTTCAGGATAAAGATAACGAATTGGGTCAAGTCCCGGTCGTTCGTACTATGTTACAATCGATTCGAGATTCGTTTATGGAGGGACGTCGTGGAATATGCAAGTTTAGGTCATGGAGTGGATCTTAATACGTTAAGTGTTTCTACATATACTTACTTTCGAGTCTCCCAGTTTTTGTAAACTTAGCTGGATTAAGGTAAGGATGAAAGGGCTTTAAAAGCTATTCTGCATTCTCGGTTATTGCAAGGATCTCCATTTCAGGTACCGATTCTGATTTCTCCCTGTACTTGGGCCTTTTTGTGATGAATTTGCTTTACCTTTTTTTTTTTTTTTTAGGGGCAGCTGCAGATTTCATTCATCATATGTGCAATTTGCAGCTTCTCGAGGAAGAAGATGATGATGGTCTTCTTGTGTTACGTGAATGTAATGCTATAGCAGCTGGGTCCATGTCATTACAATTTTCACATTTATAGGAGACTCGCCACATGGTGCAGACTAGCGACTTATATTTTCTCCCTTTTTTTCTTTTTTGATGTCTGATTTAAAACCTAGATATGGAGAACCACTTCTCGTGTACATTCTTCATTCGGATTTTTGAATGCATTTCTAAACTTTTATTAAATTAATATTCGCAAACATTATCAATATTCGCGAACGAGCTTGTGTTCATTTGATTATTAAACGAGCCTATTTTCTGTTCGAACTCTGCTCGATTAACAGACGAACGAGTTTTTGTGTGCGAACAGTCGGTTCGTTAACACCAATAAAAAAATGCCAATTGAATACTAGCAGTTCAGAAGAAAAGTTTGGAAGACAACAACTATAATGTATGTACCACATCATTCTCTCTATTGGGAGTCACGATCTCGAGTAAGTCTTCCCTGTGGAAGCCCTAGGGTTGTGGCCTAGCATTTGATTGGACATTGCTCTTTCCTTCTGTGTTTTTTCAATTAATGGATGGAAGATATGGGAAACAAAATTATTAATGAAGTCCAATATGGTGACGGGCTCAAAGAGGGGGATGATGTCCGAAATCAAGTTAGGAAAATGCTACATGTACATAATAAACGTACATAAATGTGTACATAATATTCACATGGAGTGTGTCCACTTGATTTTTTATTTTTTAGTAGATCTCACTCAATGTGAGTGTTATGTACAATATTATGTACATGTAGCATTACCCTTCAAGTTATAGTAGATCTCAGAGAACTTCAGATCCTTTACATAGCCCCAAGTTGAAGTAAACACCCATACTACACCAACTGATGAATCAGGGAATATGAACAATTTAACTGAAGGGGTAAGTCCTTTGGCTCCAGCCTCATCCAAACAAGGGGATGCAAACAAAATTGCAGTGGAGAGTGATGTTGTCTGCTATATGACCATTGATCCTGTGGTTGAGGAAAGAAAAGAGCAGTTGATTCCTTCCAATCAGGAAGGGATCTGTAGTATTTTTGGTTTGTGAATATCATCAATAAGATGACTTATATATAATGAAGAAAACAAATACAAAATCAAAGTTGAGACACGTAATAGTTACGTTCTCCTTGAGACGAAGTTGCCCTGTAAAATACCCACGATACTTAAAATATACAAGCCTTATACGAACAGTATTATTATTTGCAACTCTCAAGAGAGAATGAAAAAAAATAAAAAATCAAAAAATCAAAGAGCTCAATATGCTATATGATCTTTGAAAAGTAATGCAAGAGCTCTTAATGTCCAAGTTATGAACGATTTCAAGTATGTGAGTATTTATAAATGTAGGAAAATACCTCCAAAATGTTTAACTGTCAAAAGACACCTTATGATCACCAAAGGTCGCGACCCTCCAGCGGAAATAGTCTGGAGTTTGTGACCAAATTAGGCTTCGAGCGTCTAATAATGAGACCGAGTACAAGGCGTTATTGAAGGGCTTGCAGTTAGCTAATGCCAGAGGAGCTCGACAGGTGCAAATCCACTAGGACTACCAGTTGGTGGTCGGACAATTGCAAGGAGGATTTGAAATAAAAGATGACATGTTATAGAAATATGTTGAGGAGATTCAAACTCTGCAAAAGAAGTTTGGCTCGTTCGAGTTAATTCAGATCCTGCGATGATAAAATAGTCGAGCTGACATATTGTCAAAAATACCACAAAATTTAGTAACTTAGTAACTGCAAGAATAGGAGTGTGACTATGTACATGGAGATGGGGAGAGAGATTCCAATTTTTACAACCTTTAAAACTTTTTAATGAAGCTCAATTTAAAAATAAAAAATAAAAAAATCACAGTTGAAAATAGGTNAAAAAAAAAAAAAAAAATAATAATAGTTGACATATAATTGCCCAAAAAACAAAAAAATGAGTTATTAGACATACAAGAATACAGTTACCGCCCTAAAGAAATCTGCTAAATTACAAATCTTTATTGGAGCTATATTGGAGCTTCTTGAATCATCAACAAATCTGCTACTACCGAATCGCGGACAAAACAAGTGGAAAATAAAGGTGAGTGGTTTTCTTGATTTTTGCCAAAGTTCTCTGGTTGGAGTTTGTTTTCCATTAAACGTGAAATTTTGATACGGCATCTTGTGATGAACTGGAGGAATTGATTGATTAAGTTTTTCTTAAAAAACAAAATTACTGAATTTCTTTAAATTGAATATTGTGGTTGAGTTCTTGTCACAGTACGGAACAAAGCGTTCGAAATTTGGAAGTGATTGCCCTCTGCAAAATCAGAATTTGTTTATTTCCAGTGTTTTATTAAACTTTTGCCAATTCACAACTACAAAATTCCTTTATCAATCGATATGCTACTTTTTTGTTCTTGTTTGATTGCATTGCTGCTTTATAATCAATGTATAAAACTATGCCGAAGTGTTTGGAACTTTTAACCTTAAAATAATTCTGGTGCTGAATTTAACTGATTGAAAAATTGCCACTATAACGATTGGTATGCTGAAAATAGTGAGGTAAAATAGGTTTAACAACGTTATATTCAGATTTTTTGTTTCTTTTTTTCTAATGCTATGTAGTTGGCTTGAATTTTATCTTAACCCAATAAAAAGTCGCCAAAACTACCTGACCATGTTTCTGTCCAGATTTAGTGTTACAGCAAAGGCTTGCCTTCTTGAGCCTTTTTTGGTTTGGGGAAATGTTTGTCTACAGATACTGATCATGAATTGCCTTTAGACAAGGAAGAGAGATTGAATGCTGCAATGGACATAACCAATGATGATATCGACATGAATTTGATTAATAACGTTATTTCCGGTGTTGCCAATGAAGTCGAATTCAACTCTAATAACAAGAGTGGGATGGTCAGATACATGCCTCAAAATGGTATGGAATTCGAGACAAAGGAGGCAGCCTATGCTTTCTACAGGGAGTACGCCAGGTCAGTCGGGTTCGGTATCACAATAAAATCCAGCCGGAGGTCCAAAAAATCCGGAAAATTCATCGATATAAAAATTGCTTGCTCTAAATTCGGTCACAAGCGCCATTCAGCAACTGCGAATACAAATCCAAAGGCATGCTCCAAAACGGACTGCAAAGCAAGCATGCATATCAAGAAATATAATCCAGAAGGTAAGTGGTTTATATATGGTTTTGTGGAGGAGCATAATCATGAAACCTGCCCAGATGACTTTTTTAGTAATGCTATGAGGGGAAAGGGAAAGAATGATAGCTCTAATGTTATCCGCCAAAAGAAAGGGTTGCAATTGGCTTTAAGTGAGAGGGATGTTAATCTATTGCTTGATTATTTCATGAACATGCAAGCAGAGGCTCCCGGATTTTATTATGCAAATGATTTTGATGAAAAGGCACAGATGAGAAATGTTTTTTGGGTCAATCCAAAAGGTCGGCGTGATTACGTATATTTCAGTGATGTGGTTTATTTGGATACTCATTACATTAGAAGCAAGTATAACATCCCTTTTGTACCCATAATTGGTGTAAATCATCATCTTCAGTTTATTTTGCTTGGATGTGCCTTGATTAAGGACGAAAAGCGGTCGACTTTCATCTGGTTGATGAACACTTGGCTGAGAGCAGTGGGTGGCCATAGTCCGAGAGTGATTATTACGGATAATCACGAGTCACTCAAAGAAGCCACGGCTGAAGTTTTTCCCCGTGCTTGTCATTGTTTTTGCCTTTGGTATCTGTTTGACGAAGTTGGTCAAAATCTAAGTCGAAAAATGACCAAATATCATGTTTTCTTGGCGGAACTAAAAGAATGTGTCTACGGGTCTCGAACGGAGGAAGAATTTGAAAAGAGATGGAAGAAAATGGTTAACAAATTCAATCTCTCGGATGATAAATTTATGCAGTCATTGTATGGAGATCGCAGAAAATGGGTTCCTTCTTACACGAGGAATGTTTTTCATGGTGGATTTTGTACTGTCGAGCGGGCACAAAGTGTCGTCTCCTACTTTGACAGGTATGTACACAAGGAAACCACATTTGACCAGTTCATCCATCAACTCAAGCTATTTTTGCGCGAGATTTCAGAAGACGAAGCAAAAGCAGAGAGCGAAACTCGGCACGGCCAACAAGAATTATTTTCTTGTTCGCCTTTTGAGATGCAAATGTCTAAAATCTATACACGTGCAATATATAAATACTTTCAAGCTGAAGTTTCGGGAATTCTTTCTTGTACTGTTGCAATGGAGGGGGAGGATGAGAAAACCGTAACTTACAGAGTTGATGATATGGGAAGAAAGCAGAGTTTCACTGTATCTTGGAACAAAAGAAAACACGATGTGTGTTGTTTGTGCCATTTGTTGGAGTCCCGTGGGTTTCTCTGCAGTCATGCTTTGTCAGTTCTTCAACTGTCTGGCGTGTTCACTGTACCACCTAAGTATATACTTGAAAGGTGGACGAAAGATGCAAAAGTCGGGAGCATAACTCGTCAAGAGTCGATTAGTACAAATTTCAGGATCCAGCGGCTTAATGATCTCTGCAAACTAGCAGTTGAAGTTGGTGAAAAAGGATCTTTATCAGGGGAAGCTTATCGAGTTGCATTTGGTGATTTAGGAGAAACTTTGAAACGTTGTGTAGACATGAGAAATTCTTTGAAGAGCAATCCAGGCCTTCTTCCAATAGGTCAAAGAAAAGAAAAACCAAAGAAGAAAAAGGTCCCTTTTCTTATTGTTTTTTTATTGTGTAAAGAAATTTTACTGAAGAAATTCACGGTGGAATGTTAATTTATTTATTATCCAGATACGAGCTGAGGCTGAAAAATTATCCACTGGGATTCACGACGGCAGCCAAGATGTGGTTTTCGGTTTTCCCCATTGAAATTCTCTTTTAGCTTTTGTAAATGGAATACATACAGTCAACTTTATATGCTTATGCAACTCTACTCATTTATAGGAGCAGTTGAACTTGAACCAAAGATCCCACAGCCTGCCCGACTCTTATATTTATCAGCAGGGCTTGGAAGGAATGGTGTGTCAAGATTAGACTTTTGATGGTTACTAGACAAACATTATCTTCTTTTCTTTTTTCTTTTGAGGTCTGTGAACTGTACTGAATCATTTATGAATATTAGGAATTTGGAACACGAATGCCTATAATCAATGGGTATTATAATGCAGAGCATGATGGTCACGAATTACTGGTATGCTGGTCTCCTNCTTGGAATATGAATCTAAAGAATTCATGTTCTATTTGAAGTGGTTGTTTGACGGCCAATGTTGACAGGGGCATCTAAACGCATTGCCTTCCTTGCACGGTTATTACTACACCGAGCAGCCATTTGTGCAGGGTGTTTTGGTAATCGTGTTTTGCATCACTGTGGATTAGTGTTATCTTCAATCTATTTTTCGTAAAATTCGTAATGTTTTCCTTATATAATATCCTAGGCGTCATGTGTTGTTTCAGGGAAATCAAAATTCAGTCTCGACATGTCAGCAATCATCCTACCCAACAAAATTCGCAGGGACCGGTATTTGACTAGTCGGATATGAGAGCTTTTATTACTCTGATGAATTATTATATGATTTTCGATCTTTGCTATCCTTTACAAACCATCTGGAGAAACCATTATGTGGCCATAACTTGTCAGGTCAGGTAAAGATGGAGAACATGAAAGGAAAAGAACTGGATGTGAGTTTTACAGTTTTAAGGTAGTTTTACAGTTTCTTGCTTGTACAGTTGTACCAGTCTGTATAGTAGCGGAGTTTCACGGTGTCAATTCTATTATGTGGTGGAAACATTCGTTTAAGTATCTCTCGCATTGCTGATGAAATGAGAAATTTCCACAAGGGCTTGGGATATGTATATGTAGCTTGAAAACTGGTGTAAGTGAAGACTTGATTTGAGTGAAAGCACAAAATTTTAAGCCAAACAAAGGCGAATAATATATTTCTGACAAAATCAAAGCAAATTATTTCTATTTAATAAAAATCCTGCAAATATTCATAACGTGCGTTGGATACCAGAATGTATGAAATGGAGTCCGTATTTATGCCAATTGCTAACTCACATTGCATCATGTCAAACTGAAACCGCAACGCAAAAGTAAGCTTTCATCAACCGTAAAATTCATTACATATAACGCAAAAGATCATTCCAATAATAACACAGAATTGTAAGAACATACAAGTAACCTCAAAAGGCTCACACATTACTACTACATTAAAAAGATGATTCAAGAACTATTCACAATATAATCTATAGATTTTCAACCAACAAGATAACACATTTCACAATCTACATCATTTCAATTTTCAAGAATGGTGGAAAAGCATATGCCATAACATATAAATCAAAATTCGTTCGTGCGAACATGTGAATCCCATAAATCAAAATTCGTTCGTGCGAACATGTAAATCCCAATTCGTTCATGCATAAATAAGACATTACTAGACAAAACCCATAATGTAAGAGGTAAAAATGCAACCACCACACCATCGAAGGTTTTTCTACCAAATGATACTATTTAGCTCGAGCCTTCAACAGTTTTCGGTCCTACCAAATCAAGTGTCAACCATATTTTATTTCCCCAAAACCCCTCCAAAAAAACGCACACACCCCACAAAACAAACACACGCACATCACACTATTCCATCACAGCAACACCTCCAACGGCTTTGATCTTCTCTATGATGCTGTTAGCCTCGTCTTTCGTGACCTGCTGCTTGAGCACAACTGGAGCTTTCTCCACCAGATCCTTAGCTTCCTTCAACCCTAAATCCGTAAACGAACGAATCTCCTTGATCACCTTCAGTTTCGCCCCTGCATCAAATTTCTCCAACTTGACGTCAAAAGTTGTTTTCTCTGCCTTTTTTTCCTCGACCTTAGTAGAACCCGACCGCGGGCCCACATCCACACCTTCAACTGAAACGGGCTGAAGCTTGGGGTGCATTACCTTCTCCCCAAGCGCCTGCCTAATCTGCGCACGCTCTTCAGGAGGAAGGGAAGCAATTTTTTCAGCAAGCTTGAGTATTTTTTCAGAAGGTGGGGGCCTAGGCCCATATGGATCATAAACAGCAGGGTATTTGTACTTTATGGGCTTGGATTTGGGGTCCCGAGGGACAAAGTCGTGCTGGAAACAACGGTACTGTATGAGTTTGGCTTTTCCGAAAAGGGTCGGGCAAGCACGAGCAAGTCGGTGTAGTGTGGCAGCACTCATTGTTTGTTTCTGATGTGTAAAAAAACTAAAACAATGAAGAAAGAATGGGATTTTTGGTCTGGGAGTAGTGAAAATTTATATGTTTGCGGAAATCGATGCGAATGATAACGGGACCATTTCCGAGCTTTTACTACTACTCATCTTGCCTTCTGCACGAATTTTTACAGAAAACCAGAATCGACATCAGGACTTGCAGGAGATATGTATATAAAACATTTCAATTCAACATACCGCACTGAGAGAAGAAGGGACGTTCAGAACGAATAGTGAGTGAGCCTGTAGATATATATAGTTGGCAACTTGGCACACACTGATAAAAATTAAAATACGTTCAGAACGACGTTTAAGTCTCGTATTTTGTAAAAGAAAGCTGACACCAATTCATTAGCGGAGCCAGTGAACAATGGACATGCCAGAATTATGAATTGTTCGAAAACAACTAAAAGCCATCGATATTTTTTACATGAAATGGCATGTGGATCAAGAATCATAATATTCGAAGTATATTACAATAATAGTGCCAGTGTGGTTCGATGAAGGCAACTTTTAGTTCTATGAACAGTAAACAGTCTAAACTCTAAACACATCGTACAATTCACACAATAAAATAAACTAACTAGCAAATTCCCTCCACAATAACGCATATAAGAAATTCATTTCAGATTTCCTCAAACTCCCCCACAATTTACAACAAAAAAAAAAAAACATTAAATACTCTCTCTCTCTAATCTTTGCTAAATCAGAAATTCTTATGTTATAGAGTGACCACGAATAAAATTGCATATTTATTTTATCAAATATTATACATTTAGTTTTATATTTTAGATTATGATATTAAATATTCATACTTTTGAAGATAGCACAACTCATGCTAAGCTCAAAATATATATTTTTACTACATCTGTTAGTATCAGTGTTTTAAAATGCGCATCGCGCATCGCGTCGCGTTTTGGTCCTTATATTGCGTAGCGTAAATAGCGTAGCGCATTGCGTAAGCTATTCGAGCAATTCACTTTTAATGCCAAAAATAATAATATATATAACCATGCAAGTAAATAAATAATTGAAATAGTCTTAAACCATAAACTTGGACATTAAATCTAAAAAACATTTAATATATTAGTTCATACAAACAACCCAAAGTCATAATCTTCAAAGTAAATCGGTCTCATCCAATTGAATTTAGCTATCATCGTCAATACTATCAAAGTCAATACTATCAAAGTGTGGGAGATTTCCACTAATAATCGTCTTATATGTTCCATACTGAGTACTGAGTTCTGACTAATAAAACAGAGCTGCATATTCTTGAGAAAAAATAGAATCATCAAATTAAACAGAGTTGCATATGTTTTATAGTTCTATGAACTAGAATCATAAAAAAAAAAAAAAGCCATCAGACCAACCAACAAGTCAGCAAATAGGCAAATACATATCAAAAAAATGCAATCCGCAAAACATACAGCTCAATCAATCCTTATATCCCACTCTATTAATTTAATAAATAGAAGAGGCCCAAATTCAATTGAAGTTCTGTGAAGTTATTCATAATCTCAAATGAAAAACAAAATGACACCTTTGGAGTCGAAAGTCGAGGAGCAGGGGATGTAGGGTACAGAGAGCCGAGAGAAGGGACTTTGGGGATGCCGATAGTCGGGCAAGAGGCGAGAGAGAGAGTCGAGGAACCAGATGATGTGAGAAGAAGCTTATGAGGAGGCTGAGGTGGAGCCATGGAGGCGGCGGAGTTCCTACTCTCGTCGGGCTGTGGTGGATATGTGGAGGCTGCGGTGGAGGGACGAGAGGGAGATGATGAAGAGAAGTGAAATGAGGGTTTCGTGAATTCTGACTGTGACTTTCGTTGCCTTCGATTTTGTTTTTCACTTTTTTTTTTATTTTTTTTCTGCCTATAATAATTGGAAACTAATTAAGGGTCCCAAATAGCATGTGTAATTTAAGCTATAGCGTAAATCACGTACGCTATCACGTAAATTGTGTGCCACGTCGTCAAAAGCGTACGCTTTGTTGGAACTACGCAAAATTACAGATGCAAAGGCACATTTTCGAACAAATTTACGTTATTTCGTGCTATGTAGCGCGCTAAATTTGCGCTTTTAAAAATAATGTGTAATTCACATAAGCTCTTCAGTTTTTGGAGGCAAAACTAAACAAGTGTCAATTCGACATTTCATCGAACAACTTGTTCGCATTCGACGAAGAGAAAAGAAAAAGAAAAACATGTAATATCCTAACATCTCTTGCACAAATTTCCGATATTTTATAAGGTTTTAGAGAAGATTGGTGTGTGATTGTGGTGTCCGCGCCGGCCGATGAGGTTTGCGTGTGTCTGGTGCCGCCGACATCTCTGTGTGACTTTCTAATAAAGTCCATCAAATCCATATCAATCTAAAAAATCAATGTCCGAACCAAAAATACTTTTAGGTGATATTTAAAATAGTCAAAAAACTTTGAAACAACTTAGTTGGTCCCAGGTAACTAAGTTATGTATCAGTTTGACCAGACCAAATCGATTATTGAACCTAAATATAAATTTTAATATTGAAAATACTTTATTACGTGAATGTGATGTAGTCCAAACTTTAAATAATCATATTAACAATATTTTTATGACAACATGATTAATGATTTATGAATATTTATATATCATTTTATTATTATTTATGTGAACAAAATAATTATTTTATTGTATTTTTTTATTAATGTACGGTAAATATAAGGTTTTCAGAACCGGACCGTCATCGAAACGATGAAGTTATTTTATTAAATCATTTGTGGTTGTTCAAATTTTAATACATAATACTTATATATATATATATTTAGTACTTTTTGTAATTAATTTAAATAAAAGTGTTACTTAAATATCTAAAAAAATTATAAATTCAAATGTTTAAATTAATTGATAAACAATTTATAAATCTCTATTTTATTTAAATATGTAATTTTATTTAAAATTATTTTTAATGTAACAAAATTTGTTTAGAAAATCGTATCGATCCTACCAATCCAACAGACTGGTGTTGAAGATTCGATAGCAAATATTGTATTCAAGCGCACTAGACTGGTTATAAACCGGTTCTCGGTCCATCCGGTGAGACTGTGTCCAATCCGGTTTAATTTAAAAATAATGGATAAATCATGATTAATGTTATTTATTTACTCAATTTATAATACAATCAAAATATTATTTTTTCGTGCATCGCACGGGCCACGCACTAGTAATTATTAAATATGACGTGAAAAAAGCGAAAAAAACATTAATTCAATAGCCTACGATAATTATTCGGTAGACATACTGCTTCCACAAATTTACATATTTTAAATAGAAATTGTCATATTTTAAAAAATAAGATAGAAATTAATAAATATGACATGTAATAATATAAGTATATATTTTTATTTATAAAATATAATGAACGAAGCCCGTCTCACAAATAAATTGTCTCCCATAAAAAACATTGTGTTTAATCGAAAAGTTAGAAGAGTGGGAATATGTAGAGTAGAGATTTATTCCTCATTGGTGTGTGAACAAAAAATATTTTCATTTTATAAAAGTCTGTTTCACATTTGAATTTGAGGCACGTGCGTGCATGCCCTTGTCAGGCTCGGCTCCACACCTGAACATATAGATGATTTGTAATAGTTGTTCTCACACTATTAACTAACAATTAGAGTGGAGTAGTTTATTTATCTCATTTACTAAACACCACACCCAAATTCATAATACCGCAAAATACAAAATTACCCTTACTAATATAAAATAAAGAAAAACGAAAAATCCCAAAAAAAATTGAAAAACCGTGACCACCCCATTTCCCACTTCTCTCTCGCAGCTCATTCACATAAGCAAAAAAAAAAAATATTTAAAATATATGTAGATATATATTTAATATATAATATATAAATTTAATGTATTTTTTCGGTTTTAAATTTATTTCTTTTTTTTTCGGTTTTAATATAGATAGATATATATTTAATATATAATATATATTTAATATATTATATTTAGTATATAATATATATATATATTTAATATATATTTATTTCAGTTTTTTAAAATATATATATATATATTTAATATATATTTTTTTAATATAAAGTTTATTTTCGTTTTTTTAGTTTATTTAATATATAGTTTATTTTAGTTTACTTAAATAATATATAATTAAAAAATGTATAAATATTATCAATTTAAATTATTTAATTTCATATATATTATTATATATATGATTAATTAAAAAATATTAATAATATATTATTTAGAAACAAATATATTAATATTAAAATATATTAATATGTATACTAATTATTAGTTTAAAATTTTTTATTTAGGTTAATGAGTATGTTGCTGAGTTCGAGGGTTCTAGACCCCGACACACATCCACTCGTAATGTGAATGCTTCCGCTCGGCAGGAGAGGAACGGATGCACCTTCATGCTCGCAGGGTACAGACTGCCCAGGCTGGTAGTTCGAGACATCATGTTGCTCCGATACAAAGTGGTCAGCAGTCTGGCCCAGTCATGCCTCAGTCTGGCCCACTCATGTCTGGCAGTTGGAGTGGTCAGCAGTCTGGCCCACTCATGCCTCAGTCTGGCCCATTCATGCCTGGCAGTTGGAGTGGTCAGCAGTCCTTGTCAGTGAGGCCTAGCAGTTCTGGACGTCTCTCGACTATACGTATTGTTCGTCGGCGGGACTCCATTGAGTCGACAGTCAGGAGTCCGAGGCATGATGATGATGATGATGATGACGCCGACGGGCAGGCCTATGATGATGACGAGCAGACCTATGATGATGACGAGCAGACATATGATGATGACGAGCAGGCTTATGATGATGACTTTGATGCAGCGGAGCAGCCACAGACCCAGCCACAGGCACGTCCAGCTAAACGACTCGGCCGAGTTGATCCTCCACGACAGGCTGGGGGCCGTTATACGAGCGCTGCCTCATCTTCAAGTAAATGATTTACGTAGTTATTGTTGTTTACCATGAGATATTATTTTATTTAATAACAGCGCATCATTGATACAATCAATCACAGTATGTCGTATATATATTGATTGTTCTATTATAATACAGGGGCGAGTAGCAAACGCACTAAGTGTGACGACTGGCTTGTTAAAGCCCCAGTACCCGGTGGCCCCTTTGACGGGAGTGTTATCCCTAGTTTTCTAGGACACGTAACCTCCCGGATTTGGACAGGACGTGTTAGAGTATGTGAAGATTATAAACATTATCGTTTTATATAGATGAACGAGTTAGAGGCAATAATCGGCCCGCTGGTTTGGTCTAAATCGGCCCTAAATTGGTTCATATTTCATAGTCAAAGAGTCTGGACTAAATTAGTAAAAGGTGATGGATTACACTATTTGGACAAGTAAAATCATATGTTTGCTATGTGTGATAAGGAGTAGGATAACTTTATCGTTAAAAAACAATAATTTAACTCACAACAAATCAACTTTAGTGGTGTAAAGTACTATTTTGCCGCTCTCAAATTTTAAGTTTAATTGAACATTTTTTTCTCCAATTTTCTCAAGTTCACGCATCAAAAAACCCACGCTTCTTCTCTTCCTCGATATCCTGTTCATATTTCCCGATTTCCAGCAGGCGCGAAAACGATGGGATCTTGTTACGACTTCTCTTCCACAAATCATAGTAGAGTCGACCACCTTCTCTCAAGTTTGTCGTGTACAAGCATAAAGCATTTTTTTATCTGCACCGAGCCGTACTTTATTAAGAACCCGATAGAGTGGTAAATTTTCTTCTGAAAATTTTTTACTCTTTTCTTTACCTCTTTTTCTATGCAACTCAAGTAGAAACTTATGTCGCTGGCTAAACAATATAATAATAAAATAAATAAATAAATAAACGAGTTTTAGAGTTGGGATAACTTCAAATAAATCAACATAAAAACCAAACCCAATTTTTATTGAACAAGAGAAAAAATATGAATTACTTCTTGATCCCAATCATAAACTAAATGTTCAGTTCTAAATCTTATGTTGGTGGACGCTCCCTGCCGTTGCCAAAAGGATAATGATTAAAATTTCAAAAGATTAGATCCTCGCCACATTTTTCTTCTTATTTAATGGCTAACTAGTATAACACCCATGTATTACATGGGTGGAGACGGTGCCTCATCTCATCATAAAAATGGGATGGGTATGCGGACAAGTCAAATCCAAGATCGTTCCGGACCACGCCCACCCTTACCATAAATAATCAACATATTTATAGATAATCCAAACCTATCCAAGCCTAATAACGAAGCATGTAATTTTGCCACATAGGATCCCGAAGCATGCGAGCTTGCCACATAGGCTCAACACGTTCTCAATTAATATATAAGGGGGGATATTAAGTGTCACACATACATACACAATTATTATTGCCAATAACAGAGTTTCTTTTGGAAGAAACATGGTACTATTATTCACACAAGTTGTAGTTTATTCACATAGACATGTACTTAATATTTTGTATCAACAATTTCTATATACAATCGACCCTCATCCAAATCCGAATCGAAACCCAGCTGCTTATAATCACTATCCACCTTTGAAAAAATTGACTGTGATCGGTCTATTTATCTAAACTGAGTTGTCCTTACTTACTCTACCAACATCCATTTTTAAAATAGGCGTTGATGGATCCTTGGACAATATGATGTTCCCCTCGTGATCGGTTAAACCATAAGCAGCAACACGTGGATCCATGACCATTTTGCATGAGATTGACTCATCACATCCCATTTGAACACCATAGTAAGTCAGGTGATCAGATATACTGTTTCCACTCACTGACCTGAAATTTTTTTAGCAAAGTTCATAGCAGTTGAAGATAAATCAACTTCAGGCCCTGGTCGTAACATTTTAATCAGGTAAAGCAATTTTTACTTATGATAGGATTGAAAAAAAAGAGAAGTGGAGTATACTTTGAAAAGATTAGAATAAAATCCATTCTTTTCGAAATATCAAACACTTGCCTGCTACAAGACGGGTCTTCTCCAGAGTCATCACAAATCTTTTCAACTGTGTAAATCAAGCTCCCAAACCCAATATTGTATAGCCAAACCTACAACATGAGGATCTCGCAATTCAATGAGAAATCAATCTAATAAAAATGATAACAAATGGCACGTGAAACATTAATATGGAAAGTGATTTTCGGGGGATCTAAATACAACATATGGAAATGATTATGTTTGAATGTCAGCAAATTGAAACAAAGAAAATCGTAAGATATACATAACATATATTTCAGGGTAAAGTGGGTAAAAATACTGAAAACAACTTCCACACCTACTCTCACTTATAGCAATCACATCTATATAGTCGAATATGTTCAAGCTTCGCCATATGCATATATTTGTAAAACTACCGAGTATTTATGAGCGAAAGGTGGGAGGGAGCCCCTAATTGAAAACTTAAAGCCACTTCGACTAGATAATATTCATACCGAAGTGAAGACAACATAAAATAGAAAAAAACATACTCAGGAAAGGTTGTTGTGTCTTAACAGATGCATGTACTCATATGATACTGCCAAAACAATTACCTCTCTAGCAAAATGATGATACGTCTTTTGAGGAAAATAATAGTAATATGGTGGCAAATGTGGCACAATATCATGCCCATTCGTTATGCGGATTGAATCAGGCACAATTTGGTTAAAGTAAGATGCGAAGGCAGCATTTCCAATCCTAGGTTGCCCATATGTCATAACCTGAACATTCTGTTCCCTGAGACTGAGCTGAGAAGAGGACAAAAAAATTTCAGGAAAAAACTCAAAAATGTCAAAAACAAAATAAAAGTGCAGACATGATTGATTAAACTGTCCTTAATGAACCCTTTTTTAACTTCATAGTTAAAAAACCTGATTAATGGCTTTAGACACATTGTATAAATCAGCAAAATTATTCAAAAAATGGAAAAGATCTTCCCTGACATTTGATGCGACGAGGCTCATAGTTAATTTGTGGTACAGAAGAAGAGAATACTATAGCTGGAAATATTTTGGTTAATTTAACCATAAAACAGCACTCTCGTGACTTTTTCCTTTAACTGTATTTGACTTCTGCAGCATATACTAAGTACTGACTAACGACTGAAATTCACACGGTCAAGGAAAATAGTCAAGGATTGGATTCTTACACGGAGATCAAGTGCACAAAAGGCAGCCATTGCCCCTCCCATTGAGTGTCCAGTTACCATTATCTTAATGTCACCATACAACTCCTTTGCTTTTCGAACTGCGTTTATAACTCCAGGCCGTAAGGATGTGTTGTGATAAGCGGTATAAAAACCATGATGTACCTAAATCAGCGAAGGCCATGTGAAAACAAACACACAGTAATATATTTAAAGAATAAAATATCAAAATGTTGTTGCACAGACCATAGCACCATCAACTCCAGGGTAATCGATATCGAGCTGCTTCCAGTACAAATCTTCCACCCAGTTTTGAATACTGCAAGTTTAAGTACATCGTAAATGAAAGAACGAGAGACAGAGACAAAATAACATCAACCCGGTCCTTGTTACGCATGTCACAACACTTGAGATCGCAACTATTAGCATTGGATAATATTTACTAAGAAGCAACATATCGCACACCATAATAGCCTCATTGTACTATAGAGTTTATTCCACAAATATGGGCTTAATCACTTTAACAAGAAACATCTTTGGGAAACAGAATATCGTTAGGGACATAAAACTCATCAAACACAAGAGATAAGGCAAACCTGTGTTCTTGGGTTCCCCTGAATGCAATCACAATGGCATTAAGGTCAGTTGCAACACCAACAAATCCCTGTCAATAAACAAATAAAAAAACCAATACTAAGACATACTGAAGAAAATAAAACATTAAGGAAATGCTTTTACAAACATCCAAACCCAATCTAATGGATTAAATGAAGATCAAACAGGCAAAAGCTAACAATGCTTATTTTCCAGACCTGCAGGCACCGCTTAACATCAACAATCAGCTCGATCACCTCAAATCCCTGATTGAAAGAAAAATGTGGAAACAATGTGAATATCAAGCCAAATAATTTAATTTCGGCATTATAGCTCAATTATTACATACCTCAGTTAGACCATCACACCTTGAGCAAGTCCATGTAAACAACTCGGTCAAGTCCGACATATATACCTGAATATTAAGCATTGATTTACTAACCTTTCAATATAATCTCTGATTAAACAAAAATCTTTAGTTCTCTTTATTGTTTCACGACAGTCATCCTAATGGAGAATAATATTAATACATTTAACATCAACAATAAAATTTGTTTATTTGTTCTAGTTGATGAAATTAGTAATAATACCAACTTCTTTAATTAGTAAGAAGACAAAAAAATTGAAACTATTAATGTATTAGACACGCTACCTGGAGGTAAGCATAAGACCTGAGTCTCAATGAACCACACATCGTTGTGAACAAGTTAAGTATACATTTACCAATAGCAGGACAAATTTAATTCAAAAGTGAAACTTACGGCTGAAGAATATTGAACCAGTATTTTAGCAAGAGTGTGATTGAATATTCCCAACTGGTGATGCTTATTATGCTTATGTTTCACCGTCAACTTTAATTCTGCAACCAAAATAAACAATGTGAATATTCATATATGAGGAGACATGGAAGGAAATTTTGTCAACCTCACTCTTATTCAACAAGCTACTCAATTAATAATACCAAGATCAAGAAAAATATGGTCGATACCAAAGAAACTACAATGCTTTTAGAATTCAAATGCCTTATAACCTTAGAAACTATCTGAAATTTAGTAGTAAAGCTAAATCAATATTTAAACTAGGACCGAGAAATACAAACAATTAAAATCAAACTTTCTCATAAAAACAAAGCAAATAAGTAACTGAAAAAGGTTTTGAAACTTGACCACCATTCAACTTAGTAAGGGAAAGTTCAAACTCTCTACAAGTTAGACAAGACACTAGAATAATTTATTACCACGACATGATGAGAGTGTGAACAAAGTCAACAAACATATGATAATTGCGATTATCAACCAGCCCTTTCTCTCCATACCCTGCAAGAAAAAAGAACAATAATTTTCCAGCCAAAACTGAGAAAGAAAAAAGAGAAAAGTAAAAAAGGCACAACTATTAGTAACCCGATTAAAGTTGCCAACGTTCAATTCAGCGTGATAGAAGTGTCTCACCAAAAGCAGCAATTGGATCCCGAACTAAGTGGGATTATCATATTAATGTAGGGTCAATATCGATCAGACATATAACCCTTTACGTTCAGAAAAATACCAAACTGAACTCTAATATTACCATAAGTGACTCATCACTTTCACGATGGGCCAAAGCCTAGGAAGCATCATATTCAGGATATACCAAACCTATGACCTATTCACGCCGGTGGCTCCAATCCAATCAAGAGATGGAACTTGACCTTGCATATTGGTTCAGATAACCAAAGACAATCTGTTCATTTAGTGGACCATCCTATGCAAGCCTAGATGGTGAAATCTAACAAAACCAAACACATTCTCAAGATTCATGCACAAATTATCGCAACTCAAACGATACTTGGTTCACACAAGAACAAAAAACTTATTATGCAAAGTTGATGACAAGCCTATCCACACTGTAGAACAAAAACACGCAACTGACATGCACCTATTGTGTGAATAAAACGTTATGATTTTCCATACATAAAAAGAGGTCGTAAATGTTACTTTACTCACTTTATTGACATACTACAGGCCTCCAAAATGCTTTATCGAGTAGCTTAAAATACAAGAGGGAAATTCTTAAAACTGCCATCCTGAGCTTTAGCAATAAATACAAAATATCTAATAATACACCCGTAATAGACAATTTAATATAGTAACAAACGATTCTACATACATATTTGGAAAGCTGTCAAATAGCAACTGAAATTAAGAGGAAGCTTCATAGAACAAATGACTACTTCAAATTTCAAGGGTAAATGCTGGAAGGGATAGAAACGTACAGTGTGCAGAGATTAAAGAGCACGAAAAGATTGCTTTGAGCAGCATTCGAATTTTCAGCACAAGTTTTTCTATAAAACAAATATTATACCGATTCTTAAAATTATGAGACGTGAAGGTATAGGCCTACAAAGTCTATGAAACTCCAAACACTGGCAAGCATGATAATAGGATGAAAATAGAGCAAAACTCAGCAGCACTACTGCAAAAAATTGCAGAAAACACATAAGCTCGATGTTTGTATTATATGCATAACTTTTAATAGAAAAATAGATATTGAAGTAATTCTTGTTCCTATATAACACCAAGGACATATCTTCAACTTTCATGAAGATAATGAAAACAGAACAGGATGTCAGGAAGGTGGAAACATCTCATAAATAGTCAAACATCGGAAAGCACGTGTCTGACAGGAAACAGCTCTTGCAGTGAAGGTATTTTAAGAATAACTTTTCCCATAAAATAGATAATTGGTTGTATATTTCAGCTACAGAAAGCCACGAGACTGAGTTATAAGTTTTGTGAAGACACCAAAAATGAACAGCTACATTACGAAGGCTAAAACAGCATAAAACCAAAGCGATGGAATGAAGTCAAAATAAACCGGAAAAAATTCTAAAACAAACTTCCTCATGTTCAATTATGCTCCTCACCAGTTCTACAATTCATCAAATACTAATCCCCCGATAGTCATCCTCAATTGTTTTCAAGTTTTATCAATAAACCCTATGAATCCCTCAAGTTACCTAAGCTACTCAACCATCAAGGTCATCCAATTATTTGAACCTATGTAAATAACAATAATAGCTTCCTTCATTCGTCATCCAGAAATTATAAATGATTCAATTCCTCACCTTGGCTATCTGCACAATGATTAACAAAGTCACAACAGCCTTTGGAGCTCCGACGAACGCACAACGGTGTCCGACCGAGTCGAATTAACACAGCATAACAAATAAGGAAACTAAGTAATCCTGAGCTTATCGCCGGAAAGAATTAGGTGGATAGAGGTGGCCGGAGACAGAAAGATTGAGGAGAAAGAGAGCGAGCAAGAGGGGATGAGAACAGTTGTGGAGGAGTTCACGAGAGAATTGGGGCTGTGACTGTCGGCAAAGGCAAGGAAAGGTTTGAGTTTTTTAGTTTATTTGGGATATATTGGATTTTTAATTTTTTAGTAAATAAAGTGAACTAAGTATTTTATTTTAAATAATTAGGTAATAATAATTATTTAGCTAAGAGTCAATTCATGGAATTAAGTAAATAAAAAAATATATACATAAAAATATATAAGAAAATAAATAAATATGCAATTCTTTATCTTACATATTCAATTATTGTTTAAAAAAATAGAATATCATTATTATTAAAAATAATGCTGCTTTAATATTTTCAATCAAGTTAGTTAAACTATGCCAGTGATTTATCAACAATAATTTTCTCATGATATATAAGATATCAATACTAACTATTAATTTCTTTTTTATAATAATTTTTAAAATTTATGATATAATTTTAGAGGGGATCGGATTAAGCAATATTGATATATGATTCTTAACATTTGATTGGTATAGGATTCTTAACTTGTATACTTTTTGTGGTTCATATAAGATAATCACGGCNTAAAAGTAAAAATATAAAAATATAGATTAATTTGGGAGTTACAGAAGAAAAAAAAAATACTTTTATTTACATTAGTATTGATTTTGAAATTACACCTGCTTTCACTAATCGACTTTACATGCTCTCAATCATGATTATTAAGCACTTAGCTTAATTAGCCTTATCAACAGTTCAAGAATTGATCTAAAGTTTTTTTTCTAATCAAACTAACTAGTACAGAGCCCGTGCGATGCACAGAGTGCACAATTTTAAGATTATTTATCCAAGCTTATAATTATATACATGAATAAAGAAAAATGTATGGGATATATATAGTACGTGACCCGTGCGAAACACGAGATATATTTATTTGGAGAATATTATATTATAAGATGCAATATTCAATAAAAGTTTATAATACGCAAGTACAATGTTCAATAAAAGTTTCATAATATTCAAGTGGAGCCTTAAAGTCTCTTGTACATTAAGACTACTGACAAAATAATATTTTAATCAATGAGTTTCATTTCCTTGTAGCCAAATTGTGAATGTGATTTGAGGAGTACAACAAATCGATATATAGCTGACTTGCTTTTTTCATTGTAGTTTTTTTTTTATAGTGAATTTAAAGATATTCTAAAATATAGCAAAAATTAATTTTTTGTATTACAATTAGGAATTTTACTAAATATAAACTCTCAATCTATGGTGTTGATCAACGTTTAAGTCTAAAAATTAGGAATTTTTACCTCTTTTAATCACGTTTAAGTCTAAAAAAAATAGAGTTATTATAAGTTATTTTCTACATCTTTTAAAACATTAAATATGAGCATGTTAGGGCTAGCTTGTAAAATAATTAATATATTATCTCACTAAAACATTTATACTAATAAAAATTTAATTTTAGCATATAAATTTATCCCTTGATATAAGAGAAAGTAACAGTTTTACTTATTGTTGTTCACCATATAATATTTAATTATTATTTTATTATATAATAAAAAAGAAATATTGTTAAATAGTGTAGTAGAATTGTTATAAAATTATATGATTTTTTTTTTACAATATGGATTTAATATTTTTTTATGATTTGATAATATAAACAAATCTATACTTAACTTTGACAAATAAAACAAATAAATACTTTAGTAAGTATTTAATGTATATACTAAATAGGAATATATTTGGTACAATCAAATAATCAAAGTGTACATTTTTATTTGGTATTTGATTTTTTATTATTAAATTTTTTTTATTATACTTACCTTTTTAAAATAAAACAAATAAGTAAATCAATTAAATAAATAAAATATTATAATACCAAAATAGTAATGGCATTTAATGCAGTTGACTTTTCTGGATAGTAAATGTAATAAATAGAATCTCCTTTTAGATAAGTATAGATTGTATAATACGGAAATAGTAATGCAATAAATGTTGTTGACTTTTCTTTATACTAAATCTGATAAATGGTATACCTTTTAATATAAGTATAGATTAACTGTTAAAAGACATTTGCACGAGTCAAAGTAGAATAATATTTTCATTAATAATTTGTAGCGTGCGAGCCAGCTTTTTATAATAATTTTTAAAATCTATGATATAATTTTGGAGGGGATCGGATTAAATATAGGATTCTTAACATTTGATTGGTATAGGATTCTTAACCCGTATATTTTTTATTGGTATAGGATTCTTAACCCGTGTATTTTTTTGTGGTTCGGCATATAAGATAAGAATCCTATTTATTTTTGGAGTTGTAGGGATCAGATCAAACAAAAATCTTATTTATTAAGTATTTTATTTTAAATTTTTATCCGAATAAAAAACCGAAGCATGTAATGTTGTCAAGTAAGCTTCCGAAGCGTGCGAGCCAGTCATTTAGGCTCATCACGTTTTGAAATTATATTAAGAGGGGATTAGTTTTAAAAAATATTGATCAAGTTTGATTTAAATAAGATTTTAAGTTCTTTATTAAATAATACCTAAAATATAATTATTATGAGAAATATTATTAAAAGTGATGGTGGTTAAAATATATAAGTGGATCTACTTATAGCTACAAAGATTGTCGTCTACATGGACAACGCCACGAAAGAGGATGTTGTTGCAGCGGATGACGTCTTTCTTTTAATTGATACAGATAGGAGTTTGGTTCTCAAGGTTTGTCTTTATGTTCCATTGGTTAGGAAGAATTTAATTTGGTATCTAAACTATTCATGGATGGATTTAATGTTTCTTTCGAAAATAAGTTGTTATTCACAAAGTCGTTGTTTTATCTGTTTTGGTTCATTACTTGGCAATCTGTAAGTTTTAAGACCAAACACTCATAGTGCAACAAATCGAAATGAATAACAAATCGACTAAAACTAATAAGATAAAAGAACCTTCGAAAGTGAATCAATCATATCTATGGTACCTAATACTTGGTCATATTAACGTTAGTAGGATTCAAAGGTTGATATCTAATGGACAATTTGGTTCGTTGGAAGTGGTTGACTATTCGACTTGCAAGTCTTGCTTAGAGGTTAAGATGACCGAGAGGTCGTTCCGCAATGGGTACAGGGCCAAGGATATGTTAGAACTGGACCATTCCGTTTTATGTCGTCCTATGTCTATCCGGGCTACAAGTGAATTCCAATATTTCATCTCATTTATTGATGATTATTTGAGGTATGGGTACGTGTAATTGATGCACCTCAAGTCTGAGTGCTTCGAGAAATTCAAGGAGTACAAGTCGCTTATGGAAGAGCGTCACGGTAAAAGTATCAAGGCTTTGCGATCATGTCGTGGTTGCGAATACCTCTTGAGAGAGTTTAAGACATATTTATCAGAGTCTGGGATTGACTCAACCCAAGTCAGACTTGTACTGTCCGACCTCCGATCGACTCGATTTTCTTGGAGGACCGATGTTTCGAACACATCACCCATGACCACAAATCTTCTTGGTTTTCGACCTCCGGTCGACTTACCGGTCTACTGGAATCCCTAAGGTAGCTAATAGGTCGTTCACAACCTAACGGATGGTATAGTATCCCATATCAAAGTCCATATTCATTCTACGCATCTAACCTTCTTCGCACACTTTCTGACTTGAGCATCGAAAAAATTTGCATTGGAATCCTCTTTTAATGATTTAGAGCAATGTTTTAAATACCGTACCGTACCGGCCGGTATTACCGGTAATACCGGATACCGGTGGTCCAACCAGTACGGTTATACTCTAAATACCGTTTTGGCCAAAATACCAGTTTATACCGATTTCGTACCGGAAAATACCGGTTTTACCGGCAAATACCGGTCAAAATACCGGTTTATGCCAAATTTTTTTTTAAAAAAAGTATTTTTTTAATATATTTTCATTAATTTATTTATATAAATTGAAAGTTCTACACGTAATTTTAATATGTTTACATTGTTATTAGATGTTAATTAATTTTAAAATTAGTTATTAGTTTTGTACATCATTTATATTATAATAATATATTAATTTAATATTTATTGAAACTGGTAAAATAGACGGTAATACCGATTGAACTGGTTGAACCACGTACCGTTAGCTCGTCCGGTATACTTACCGGTACTGTATTTAAAACACTGATTTAGAGGTTATCGATGGTCAATTTGTGTGTAGGAAGCATCTTATTTGGTGTCAGATGCATCACTTGCCCTAGTGACTCAGCTTTTATTTAACAGCAAATCCTCTCAAACCCTTCTTTTGTAGGTCTCGTGCTTTCCTTACTCTCTTCTATTTTCTTTACAATGTTATTATAATAAATTTAGTCGCTCATTTTATAGTATCTATATATATATATAATAAAAATTAACTTAAATCAAATATAGTAAGCATTTTCCGCCATTATGCATTAATTACATCCTTATTATAGCAATTTTACCCAATTCCTTAAAACAAATCTTGAAGCATTAATTGAAATCAGTTTTAACTTTCCTTAACAACCGGATTTATTGTTTTAGAAAGATACTCCATAATATTTGATTAAACACTAAATACGGATGTTTGGAATCAATTATATTTAAAAGCAGCATTATTATAGAATAAAATATTATTGAGTATATTTTTAAAAAGTTATATAATTATAGAATCAAATAATTTAACCACGATTCAATCTTTTTAATTCAATCTATATCTCTTTTTAGACTTATCAATTCATTTTAATATAATATAAATTTGCCGTAAAAATGAGAGTAGAACTTTACAATAATCATGATATCAATATTAATAATATAAATGCTAAATAAAATTTAATTATTTAGACTGTACACTAATTTATTGTATATATATTTATATATATAAATCGCATATTTGAACTTTAAATTTTTTTATATTTTTCACATATAGTTATGCAATATATGCAACTTAACTAAAAGTAAATAATATCACTATTCCACTACTCATGTAAACATCTTTTTGTTTATAATATCACGATTATTTTTTTTATCAATTTATTTATGAGACATTTTTTTTTCATTTAAAAACCGTGATTTACATGTCCTCCGATTCATTTAATTAGTTTTGAGCTACAAATGATAAAATATCGTTGTTGTTGTTTTTTTAACATAATTATTTTTGTAAATATTGTTTTAAAAAAGATACAGTCAAAATTCTAAATGTCTGTTAAAACATAAGAAAACAAAATTGTTCTTAATATTGGTATGAAATTGACATAAAAAATGAAAATGATTGAAAAAATAAAAAATATACTCAAAATCTACACATTAAAGTAACAATTTTTCTAATATTCTATATAAAATTAAACTTCACCAGAAAAATTATATATTTAGTATTTATCACAATATTACATATTTTCACATAAGTTTTATTTCGTGAACATTCCAAAAATCAACAAAAAAATTGAAGGAATGAGGTGTCTATGCAATTCGCAATTATCAAGTGGAGAACAATCTTGGTAAATATCGATTTACAGTTGCCAAATGCAGAATAATTAATTTTGCATGGAAAAACAAAGAAGTTTAAAATAATATATGATTTTTTCATGATGAACATTTTACGATTACCTAACAAATGTCCTATGTATTATAACTTATTTATTAATAGCCTTCAATTATAAATTTTACCAAAACAAATACAATCCGTGCATCGCACGGGGTTACATACTAGTTATGTATAACAAGTAATGTCCTAAAAAAAATAAAAGAAAAAAGAAAGAAAAGAATCACTAGCCAAGGTTAGCAGATTTTTAATTCAAAAGTAAACAGTCACATTCATTGATCGATCAATAAGGACATTCATAACCCTTTAACACACATTCCATTCATTCAATAAAAAAGTAACACTCTCTCTCATCCACATCATCTCCACATCATGTTTCCACTAAATCTCTCTCCATTTAAACACACACCCACATTCATACACATTCATTTAAATACATACATGGGACCCATTATCCACTCATTCAATATAAATTTTATATTCTATTCTCAATACAAATAAAATTTAATATTTTTAAATTATAATAATAAATTTTAAATGCATGAAAAATGAAAGAACACTACAAGACCAAAATAATTTAAAGTAAGATTACACAAGAAAAAAATAGTACAATTACAAAAAAAATATTTTTTGAGTTGTTGGCAAAATGAGTCTAAATATGCTCAACTAAAATGAGGTGTATTTGTAGACAAAGAATGGGAAATAGAAAATATAAATTATTGATACATATTAGAAAGTGTGATATAGACAAAATCTGAATTTATCAATATTGAGAAGTATAATATAAATAAAAAATGAATTAATATAAAAAATAAAACTAATATAAAATTGATTTAAAACAAAATAAAACAAAAAAAAAGTAAAAGAATGGGCGTTCAGCCCATTGAACGCAAAGCCTGACCTCACTAAAAGAATCAACACCAACAATAGTGTTAACGCTAACTTGACTTTCAAACGGAGGCAAATTAACACTCATTGCGGGTGTCCTAATGTATACTAATGAATTATTGATTAGCTCTATCATTTGCCCAAGCAGAAATCAACTTGATTAAATTCGGTTGAAAACCTACCAAGCTTAAAGATGTCTTGGCTATCTTTGTCAAGTGGGTTCTCAACTCCGGTGNAACTCCGGTGGATAAGGCATCGTAATGATGATTTGCAATTATAACATTACAATTTTTTAGCTTAAAGAAGTGGGAGGATACAACACTTTCAACATCCACTTGAGTCGCGTAGTGTAGTAAGAGAAGTTCATTATGGTGTAGATAGGACAAATGGTCAATTAGTTGTGAATATAATCTAATGCACGTCTTAATTAATTTTTAACAAATAAACCAATTTTATAATGATTTGCATTTATAGAGAGGAGAATTTTGAGCTTAAAAACTGGGAGGGTGCAACTCTTCCTAACTTCCAAATTTATTTGTATACAGAATCTTAAACGCTAACAAAATAAGTTATAAGATATATGTTGTTTATCAAACACTCTTCTTCCATCCGAACTAACCTACCCTCTACCAAACCATAGCTAAAATCGTCGTTTGTCAAAATCATTACTAACTAGTCAATTTGGACTAGCGAAAACCAATCTGTTCAAAATTAATTTTGCTCCACAAGTGTTTTTATTTTAGAACACAATAGTTTAAATATAAAATAAATACCATTTCAGTATATTCGATATTTGTAATATATTATGTAAATTAGTTTAGACAAATGCATATTTTCAGTTATCTGAAAACTTAATTAATGATTTTCTATATATATTATTTATCAACCAAATAATGCATAGTTTAAAATACTAATAGATCTATCATTTAAACCACTCAAACATGAAATTTAAGTATGACCAAAAAACAATTTTTTTTTTCTTTTCATGATATCAGACTCAAATTAAAATACAGCTATCGACTACTTTGATTATTACTTTAAGGGTGGGTTTGGTTGGATATTGTTAATAGCCTTGATACTATCACAACCTGATTTCCCAGCATATCCACCTACCCCAATGCTCCATTAGTCCGTTTGGTTTGCAAAAGTGGCCTAAAAATATTGAATTTAATAACACCACGAACAAGTTTTAACATGACGCAAAGGGTCCAATTCATTACATTTTTCCATTTTTAACCTTTCTTCACCTTCCCAAAATTCTCACACCCCATCTACTGTGCCGAACAAATCAAGTGAGTGAATCATTTTTAGCAGGCAACCAAATGAAGATCTCAATCCAATTTAGATTTGAGATCACTGTTTGAAATATGATGAGCCTTATTTTTAGCAGGTAATCTCTTAATTAGAAAATCCTTTTGAAGAAGAAGATGTGAGTTTCAAGGGGAAAAAAAAAAGAAAAGAAAAAGAGAAACATGTCGATATAACAAAATTGAAGAATGGAGTGGCATGTGAAAGAGGTAATTACATCTAATAAGATCTACCGACGAAAACTATAATCACAAACTAAAAGGAGATAGATGCCCCGAAAAGAATAGGCATAAAGTGAGCCATTTTTTGTTGTGGTTTAGATTCCCCCAATCGTCTCTCGCTGTTCGCCGTCATCCCCTTTGTTCGACGCCACAATCATTAACGACGGGCAAAAAATGATAGGCATCTATCGCCCAGATCTGCGAGATTTTTACAATTTCGAGTCGAATGTGTGTAATTTTTACATCTAGTATCTATACCGATGCAACAGGTTTTTGGTATTAAAAGAAGGTTAAATTAGTCATTAACCCAAGTAGATAAATGTGGTGATATTGTATCCCATAAAAAAGGTGGGATACAGAGTAAAAAAACTGTGGGAATGAATACCAGGCTTGGGCCATTTCACAGGCTTTTTCCATTCCAACCAAATAAGTTAAACGTCCACATGTGCTAACAAACTAAGGGATATCACCTCCAATAAGGGTAACCAAACGCACCCTAAAAGTATAAATGACAAAATAAATAATGCATATGATACAACTATCGTAGTGGCACACAATCACAAATTTATCAAACCAATTTGAACTGCAAGTGCCCTATAAATACCCCTCAGCCCATCTACCTCATCCTCCCTCTTCCCCTCTTCACCACCTCCATTCATCTATCTCTATCTCTATCTCCTTCTCTCTCACACACATAGAGTGAGAGACGAAATGAGCCATCAGCAGGACGGGACGGGACGGGCCCAATTCGTGATGGTGGCCTCGGTCGCGGAGTCCATGGCCCGATCCATGAACCTCCCCTCCGTCGCCGCACTCCTCCCCCACCTCGTCCCCGCCGCCCAGTCCCTCGCCCGCCCCCCGATCTCTAACTACCACGTCGGCGCCGTCGGACTCGGCTCCGACGGCCGCGTCTTCGTCGGCGTGAACCTCGAGTTCCCCGGCCTCCCACTCCACCACTCAGTCCACGCCGAGCAGTTCCTCCTCACCAGCCTCGCCGTCCACCGCTGCCCCTCCCTCCTCTCCCTCGCCGTCTCCTCCGCCCCCTGCGGCCACTGCCGCCAGTTCCTCCAGGAACTCCGCGGCTCCTCCTCCCTCCAGATCCTCGTCACCGGCGACGGCGATCGGGATCCCATCCAGAATCCCGATTTCAAACCCCTACCCAAGTACCTGCCGAATCCCTTCGGCCCTCACGATCTGCTCGATCGTGGCACCCCGCTTCTGCTGGAGCAGCACGACCATGGCCTGGATCTGTTGCCCCAAAACGACGACGCATTTTCAGATCACAATTCTCTTAATTCGGGAAAATTAATCAACGGAAATTTTGATAAATTCGAAGCAGATGTGATCCTTCTGAGAGAAGCTGCTCTGGAGGCCGCCAACTGCTCCCACGCACCCTACAGCGGGTGCCCGTCAGGTGTGGCCTTAATGGATTGTGAAGGAAACGTGTACAAGGGCTCGTACGAGGAGTCAGCAGCCTATAACCCTAGCTTGGGGCCCGTGCAGGCGGCATTGGTGGCATACGTGGCCGGAGGTGGGGCTGGTTATGATAGAATTGTACGGGCGGCCTTAGCCGAGAAGGCAGGAGTAAAAGTCCAGCAGGAAGATACTGCCCGGCTGCTGTTGAAGGCCATTTCCCCTAACTGTGAGTTTCAGGCCTTCCATTGTGGCTCGGTTGGGAAAACCAGTCCAAAGGTTTCTGGATAAGTCCTGACTGGGTTTATTCTTTTGTGATCACTGATTGAATATTTTGTTGCAATTGTTGATTTGGTCTTGCCAGTAATTATTATCAATGAATAAGTGCAGTTTCTGTGTTCTTTTTTCCTCACTTCTTCTCATATCTGTGGATATTGTTGTTTCGTAGTTGTTTGTAACAAATCGTGCTTGGAAATAAGAAGTTGTGTCAATAGTATTGGCTACTGAGCTACAGAAAGATCACTTGTTGTTGTCTAACACAATGGGTATCATCTGTTTGATTTAATTGGTTCTAAAATTAGTTATGATTATTTTGGTTGATTTGATTAGTGGTATCCGTTCGCCGTTGCATTAAAAAGTGCCTAGTTGGCAACACTAATATTTTTTTCTGTTTAGGGAGTTTGATGTTTTTGCATTGCTTTTGATTTTGAGGAAGACATGTCAAGGTGCATCGTTTGATGGTTCCACCACTACAAGAAAATAATGAAATTCCAATGGAAATATATTCCAGTAGAATTCCAACGGCAATTCTAATGAATATTTCAATGTTATTATTTCCGTTGGAATAATTCCAACGGAAATTCCTACAAAAATATGTCGTTGGAATGAGTTTTTCATTGGAATTTTCGTTGGATTTTGACGATTCCAACGGTAGATTTTCCAACGGTGGTGGAAATAAAAATTCCACCGGAAATTGCATATTCCAACGGAAATTCCTACGGTGAAAAGCTGTTGGAAATATAGCCGTTGGAATTATCAAATTCCATCTAAAATTCCAATGAAAAATACATTCCAACGGAATATTTTCTTTGGAATTTTCGTTGGAATGATTCCAACGGAAGCTATACCATTGAAATATCCGTTGAAATTTTCATTGGAATATATTACCATAGGATTTTCCGTTGGAATATAACAATATTTTTGTAGTGCACGATTAGTCCTTCATACATATCTAAAGTAATTTGAAGGTAGAGCAAGCATGTAAGCTCAGGGTAATCTTTTCTTAGGTTTTAGTGGAGATTTCTGTGTTGGAATTCCATTTTTATCCACTTTACTTAAAGTCATCTTACTTACCCACTAAGACAGAATAACAAAAGTTTCCTACTTTTTCATCTTTGCCAATAGTAAAGTATGAACATGTGTTATTTAACTATTTCTTAATTTCTGTCATATGTGCATGTGTGTGTCTAACACTATTGCATCACTACATACTACATACAGTTAGTAGCACAAACAGATTGGCTTACGATTAGGCAACATTGCAACTATGTACAACTGATCATGCTTTACAAATGTACAAGTTTAAGATAACAATATTTGTAAATTCTCTTGCTGAGGCCTCAGAGTATCTCATGGTTAGAATTCATGAGTGTGTGTTTCTTTTTTCCTTTATGAAACGCATATCTTGAGAGGGAAGGGATTATAAGAAACAAACCACAGACCTCTAGTTTGGGCTTTGCGATTCTAAACCACTCGATCACTGTTGGATTCTTGAGCTATCTTACTCTGTTATAGTGAAAAGGAGGCGTTACAAACTGAGTAATCCATCTTGTAAAGATGTTTAGTTGTCTTAGATATGATTTTAAACATTGGTTTTCAAGAACTAAGGAGCATCTGTTAAACTGATTGGAGCTCATGTAGTAGAATCAAAGATGTGATCTATCAGCAGAATCCATCTCATCTGGTATCTATATCTTATCCTCACATTCAGACTGAAGTTATTTTAAGAGAATACGTGTTATGAGTTACTCGTTATTAGCCCTTTATCAAGAAATTTGATTAATTAGCAAATGTCAACCAATTGGATTGAGTGTGCATGGAATACTTATCAACATTCTTGCCTTTAGTTGTTGCAGCACATATACGTGCCCATATTGAATTTATTCCTGATTCCAGTCGTCCATGAACAATCGGCACATGTTGTAACTGTTACAACTTCTCTGGACTTGAAAATGATCTAAAAGTATGAATTGCTCAAAAGCCCTTAAGGACATTGTATCTGTACAAAAAATTTTGAGAAAAAGAGGGGCTCTTATGACAAAAGTAACAAATTTTTGTCTGCAGGTTTGTTTTGGAGATTTGAGAACTGAGTTTTCACGTGAAGGTATGTGAGAATAAATTCCACAGTATCAAACTGATCCATATTAATCTGATATGAGCCTCCATACTTTGAGTCTGTTTGTTTCCCTCAGGATTAGGACTCTAATCATATGTCTATCTTGTATTTGTTAACCCGAAGCATTGTAAATCTCGTTATTCCCTCATTTACTTGTTTTGATTTTGTCCCAACTATTATCATGACAAACAAACATAGGAATTGACAACAAATGTAGATTCATTTTAATCTCCACAGTGTAATCATGCTACCCCAAATAAAAATAATCTTATCTTATCATAGAAAACAAATGAGCTCTTATATAATTAAGTTACTTATTTTAAAGATGGTGTGATATATGAAATAATTTACATTGTGTTGCAAACTTTGAATAGTGAAATTGAAGATACCGTTGCACATGTGGAATCTGAAATAATAAGATTTCATAAATATTTCCATTATTGTCTACTAATACGTGTTATATTAAAATGTCATTAAGCTTAATTCATTACATTAGCATTTTCATCACAAATAATTCAAATTGTTGACATGATCACCTATTTTTTAAATTTTTAGTTTTATTTTAAAGAAAGTTACGTGGCCATATAAATAAGGGGAGGGGAAGCACTTCCAAAAAACGGATNAAAAAAAAAAAATGTATATGGTCTTTCTGAGATTCTCAATAAAATTAGAGTGCTCAAATCCCCATATTTCCCATTTTATATTTAAGCAATTCTTTATTATTTTTGGTAAAAATCGACTACCGATACAAAATTTGTTGCGTTCTGTAGAAACGCAATTATGCATTCCATCCACGGATTAAAATGGATAAATGCAAATTCAATTTGCGTTTGCATGACCATTTGAGCTAGTTTTTCTGTTTGAATTTGCGAATGCATGTCCATTGGACCGATTGGAGTTGCTTTTTCCGTTTTAAGTTTGCGAATATGTGTCCGTTGGAGACGCTCTAAGTCCTAAAACTTGCCCTAATAAATAAGTTCATCCTCTCAAAATCATTGAAATCCCAAAGACAGTTCAATTTGTGTGAAAATATGAACATTGATCAATGTGCTATCCTCAACTTGCTCGACGTTGATGAGCACAAATAGGATACAGATCATGAATAATATTACAATTAAACCAAGGAGTACATTGTCCATTCAACATTAACAAAATCCCTCATTTCACAAGCACACAAAAAAAGGAAACCTATGATGGCGTCTGCTTTGGCGGCTCCTCCAAATAACGAGGAACTTCACCTCTCATAATACGCCAGGGCCCACTATAAAACATTGGCTTCATTATTGGAACTTCATGTCCAGGGTGATCTTCCCAATATTTCTCCTGAATAAAAACCAAGGCAGGCAGAAGGAAATAACTAAAACATTCAGCTAGTAAAATGAGTTGCAGAACATATTTATTTACTACACAAGAAACTCTCAGCTTTTGTCAATGCTGGACGAATTAAGAGAAAGGCTTTTCTGATCAACCATGATATTGCTGATCGACCAATCATTATGAGTTCTCGGTAAACTTGTAGTGGTATGGAGTAAGTATGCCTTAATACTAATTACGTAACAAGTACCAAACATAGTAATGAAACATAAAACTTTGCCAACATAAATAAAGAAAAGCGTCATTCGCAAGACAATGCATACAAAATGACAGTATGCCAGTCCAATTTCCAACATTCTAATAATGACGAAAGCACAACATCCTAAAAAGAATAAAAAATTCTCAAATATTCCTTACTACACAAGCAACACCCTTTATGAACTGTAGAAGCATACATAATTAGAAATTCGAAGTTTAGATAGTAAAGCCAGTAATCTATCCAAGTAAATATCAAGTTCTAATTTTTTTCTGAAAAATCGGACAAAAAGCTGCAACTTCACCTTGTAGAGTTGCTCAGTGATTGCAGCACCAATGACCCATGTGTAAAAAGCATAGATATAAATGGTGACAAGAGGCGTAAAAGACTTAGGCCGCCGGTAGGGCTCGATCATGTCCCACAGAAGGGTCCTCTCCCACTTGGTGGTCACGTATAGTGCATATTTCCTCCACAGATAGCTCGACATTTGATGGTCCTTGCTTTACCTGTGAGTAAAACGAAACGAAATTTTTTTAACAGTGAGATTGAGACAATCGACCAGACTCTAAGAAAAGCATGTTGAGTATGAACCCCATAGGTAATTCCAGTGTTTTAAAATGCGCATCGCGCATCGTGTCGCGTTTTGGTCCTTATATTTCGTAGCGTAAATAGCGTAGCGCATTGCATAAGCTATTCGAGCAGTTCACTTTTAATGCCAAAAATAATAATATATATAACCATGCAAGTAAATAAATAATTGAAATAGTCTTAAACCATAAACATGGACATTAAATCTAAACAACATTTAATATATTAGTTCATACAAACAACCCAAAGTCATAATCTTCAAAGTAAATCGGTCTCATCCAATTGAATTTAGCTATCATCGTCAATACTATCAAAGTGTGGGAGATTTCCACTAATAATCGTCTTATATGTTCCATACTGAGTACTGAGTCTATTGGCTAATAAAACAGAGCTGCATATTCTTGAGAAAAAAATAGAATCATCAAATTAAACAGAGTTGCATATGTTTTATAGTTCTATGAACTAGAATCATAAAAAAAAAAAAAAGCCATCAAAGAAGCCATCAGACCAACCAACAAGTCAGCAAATAGGCATACAAAATGCAATCCTCAAAACATACAGCTCAATCAATCCTTATATCCCACTCTATTAATTTATTAAATAATCATTCCAATTAAAAAAAAAAATCTAAATCATTCACTAGAAGAGGCCCAATTTCAATTGAAGTTCTGTGAAGCTATTCATAATCTCAAATGAAAAACAAAATGACACCTTTGGAGTCGAAAGTCGAGGAGCAGGGGATGTAGGGTACAGAGAGCCGAGAGAAGGGACTTTGGGGGTGCCGATAGTCGGGCGAGAGGCGAGAGAGAGAGTCGAGGAACCAGACGATGTTGAAGAAGCTTATGAGGAGGCTGAGGTGGAGCCGTGGAGGCGGCGGAGTTCCTACTCTCGCCGGGCTGTGGTGGATATGTGGAGGCTGCGGTGGAGGGACGAGAGAGAGATGATGAAGAGAAGTGAAATGAGGGTTTCGTGAATTCTGACTGTGATTTTCGTTGCCTTCAATTTTGTTTTTTTGTTTTAATTAGTTTTCTGCCTATAAAAATTGGAAACTAATTAAGGGTCCCAAATAGCGTGCGTAATTTAAGCTATAGCGTAAACTGCGTGCCACGTCATCAAGATGCATGGCGCGTTTTCGAACAAATTTATGCTATTTCGTGCTATGTAGCGCGCTAAATTGCGCTTTTAAAAACAATGGGTAATTCACATATGCTCTTCAGTTTTTTGAGGCAAAACCAAACAAGTGTCAATTCGACATTTCATTGAACAACTTGTCTGCATTCGACAAAGAGAAAAGAAAAAGAAAAACATGTAATATCCTAACATCTCTTGCACAAATTTTCGATATTTTATAAGGTTTTAGAGAAGTGTTGGTGTATGACTGTGGTGTCTGTGCCGGCCGGTGAGGTTTGCGTGTGTCTGGCGCCGCCGACATCTCTGTGTGACTTTCTAATAAAGTCCATCAAATCCATATCAATCTAAAAAAATCTATGTCCGAACCAAAAACAATAGTATAAATGTTATGGTATCTGATAGATCAATGTCCAATTAATAAAGCAAAATTCCTCTCAGATTACCTTAATTAAGTCTGACGGGACGCAAGAAACAAGAAGGAACCCTGCAGCTGGAATGATATGTTAGTTAGCTGGTCTCGCTACCTGAGCAGGTTTAGATGGATATGACTAATTTTAATTTTGAGCAATAATTTACAAAGAAAAAAAAAACATTGTGTTGCGATCGCGTGTTTATAGGGTGAGCAATATTTTACAAAGAAAAAAAAACATTATGTGCGCGCGCGTGTTTATAGGGTGAGCAAAGTTGAGCCAAAATTGAAAAACCGATGTGGTTCTGTTCGGTTTTTGAAGAGTTTGGTTTGCAGTTTGAATTATGAAAATTGCAAAAAGATCGATGCAGTTCGTTTCTGTGTCTGATGGATGCATTTTAAACGAACCACACCGAATATCATCATACAACCAGTGAAGAGACACTTTTCATTTGCAAAATTAATACATTTGCATTTAAAACTTAAAACTTAAAATTCCAATTTCTATTCTTGCCCTAGTTTTTCACTCTCAGCCCCGCAGCCCATGGATCGAAATTTCTAGACTCTCACCCTCAGGCTCACCCGCCCGTCGCTGGCTGCTCACCACGCCCCATCTATCCATTTTTTTAGGTGACAGAATCCTGATCACGCATGGTGGGTCGGCCTCGAGTCTCGGACCATTCACAAGGTTGGGCTGTCTGCCCAACTCGAACCGACTTCTTCAATTTAGGTAAGTTCTCACTTTCAATCTTATTTTTTTCTCTTTTTTTTTTTCATTTTGTCCTCTTTCTCCCGTCTGACCTCCAACCCTAATCAGGGGCGGATCTAGAAATTTTTTTTAGGGGACTATATATTTTTAATAATCATACATTTAATTAAATGTACATAAAAATAGGAAGATGTATTATAAAATAAATATATAATAATAACAATGCAATATAAATTAAAAGTTATATTTTGAAATAATTATTTAATAATAATATCAATGCAATACAAATTATATAAGTTCCAAACCTTGGCAGTAACAAATTTCGATTGAACGTTCTTTCAACTCATGAATTTCATCAACAATTCACTCAATACTAATAGTTTTAATAATTCTTATTTTCATTAGACATATTTTTTATGGTCTTATTTTTTAAAATTTACTTATTTTATGTTTTTACGTATTTTTCGTACATTTAATTTATTTAAACTAGAAAATTTTTTATACAAAAGTGTAAAAAGAGTATAATTGTAGTTGAATTATTAGTAGAAAAAAAAAGATAATTATTATTTTAATATAATAGTGTGTTTATGTAAAAAATGATATATATATATATATATGTATATATATAAGTATATGTATGTACTAAAAATTTAAAATTTTGGGAGGGACAATGGTCCCCCTATCTTGTAAGTGGATCTGCCTCTGACCCTAATTTTGGCTTTTCCATAAATTTTGGGGTATTTTTACACGTTGCAAAATGCAAACTTTTGAATATAGTCTTTTGTTTTGTTTTGATTTAGATCAGTCCTTTTGTTTTGATGTTCAAACTTCAGACCCTGATAGTAAATTTGTTGAGGGTATTGGATGCGACTAGAAGTAGAAGACTGATGGCTTGAGAGAAAGCGGCCTCTCTCGGGAAACATAGCCAAATTTCTCTTCTCAAACTGGATAAGTCAGATCGACGAAAGCCAATATGCTGAATGCTGACTGAGCAGTATGAAAGAGTGAAAGTTAATTTTTTGCCCAATTTTGGTCTTTTTCATTGTAATGTTGTCAGAGTGAAATGTGATATACTTATGCAGTTTGTTTTTTGTTCAAAACTTTGTTGTTGAAGAGATGGCGGAAGATTCACCATAGGAGGTCCACCATCAACGGCATACTGGCAGGGCCAATAATGCACGTATGTATAAGGCTAAAGCTTACAATAACCCTGATTAATATTTCAACCACAATGAATTATGCATAATATAAAGTATTTAAATAAAACGAAATATTCTGCCTTGGTAATGTGCTAGATATATCACTCTCTCCCTCTTGAGTGTTGATGGAAGAGGCATATCAACGTTTGTTTTTTAACCTAGACAATCATACTTTTCTAATAAATATTTATATTTTTAATTTGAAATCTAATATTCTAAAGAATAGTATAAACAAAAAAAAGTAAGAAATTTTATAACATAAATAAGCATTTCTATTAAAAAAACAGTATAATTAATCGCTCCGTCTAGTGGTTGTGCCATCTCATACAAGAATTTATGTTTTGCCTTGCGCCTTTCACAGCTAAAATCATAGGAGTTTCTGCTTCTTGTGTTTGCCTTGGACCTTTCATAGCTCAAAACAACGGACGTTTCTGAAAATTGTAGACGTTTTGAAGCATACAATGTGAGATTTATGTTGTGTAACGACGACAATACGAATTAAAGACGAGAAAGTAAATAACACAAGATTTACGTGGTTCGGCAATTTGTCTACGTCCACGGCGGAACGATCTTCGCTCGGCTCGGTCGCTCCGCTTCCCTTGCTACGCTCGCAGGCATCAGCCTGCCCCCTTCCTTTGTCGATATATGAGCCATACCAATAATTTATATATTCTCTTACTGTATAGAATGGATAGACGAACTTGAAGTAGAAGCATTTGGTTCGCTACTGATGATTTTTCAGGTTAACCGGCGTATTTGAAAAATGAAAATTTGAACATATATTCCTATGTCTGACGTTTGAAGAGTTTCGGTGATAACGTTGCTCCAAAAAGTTTATAAAACATTGTAAACAATAGTCCTGATCAACATCCTTCAATAATTTGTAAAGGTTAAGATAAATTAAGGAATGAGGATTTCCAGGAGAACCTATAGTTGGTCTGAGGAAACTTTCAAATTCATTAATGTCCTGAAGTTACACAATCCCCTTAGTTATTCACGAGAAATGGACGATGCTCAAGCAGCAATCTAAATTACAAAAACTAGGAAGATTTTATCAGAGTACTATTACCTTGCTCGCTAGCCAACACACCCTGGGAAGATGACATGAAAAGTGGTTGACCAGTCGAGCATGTAAGCCTAAATCAATCATGGGATACAAATATTACAATCGCTATGAACCGTGAACAAACGTGTCATAGCTCTAATGTCGTTTGCAGCTGCAAACACAATCCAATCGTTTGACTTCGACAGCAGAATATGATAAANAACCAACACCACCACCACATTTTCCAATCTAATACCTGACACAAATTTTAGCTGCTATCCAAAAGAACATTCTTCGCGAAAAAAACTGACCCATTATTCGGAACCCCTTCAATGTTGAGGATCTGAGTCACCATGTTGTATATCTCAACATTCTCGAAAGACGGCACTTTCCTACCCCTAGCGAATCGTGGCCCATGCCCAATGAAAATAGTCCTCATGGAAAAAAACGCATTATCATATCCATGTGCCCCTCCACACTCTTGCCTTCTCAACCTCTTTTGCTCCACCTTAAACCCTTCGTCTATAAGCCCTATGATTGGCGGGATACGATCACTAGCCGAATAATGTAGTCGATCGGGCAAATCCTCCTTGAGATAAACCTTCAAATACTCGCCGTTTTTCACGCTACCCGATTTCAGCCCTTCATTCATCTTATCCACAATATCTCCGGGAGAGTGACTGGCCGGAGGCCAGATGGCGAGCAGCGGACTGTAAGACTGGACCCACTCTTTCGGAATCTCGACCCATTTCACCAAATCGTCCAAAAATATCAACTTCTGATCGCAGGTGCCCACCATCCCATGATCCCCAACCATAACAATGTTCACATCTTCAAAAATGCCTCTATCCTCCAGACCACGAATCAATTTCCCAATCAACCTATCGATCTCAATAACGGCATCCGTAATTTGACGATCATCGGGCCCCACCTTGTGGCCCTGATGATCCGGGTCTTCGAAGTACAATGTCATAAACGAAGGAATTTCGCTACTGGGCAAATCGAAATAGCTCAAAACGGTATCGACCCTCTCCTCGAAAGGCACAGATTCGTTATAGAACTTACAGTAGTATTTAGGGCAGTTCCACGAGCCTTTCTTCACCTCAGATCCGGGCCAGAAATAGGTGGAGGCCTTCAAGCCGTGGTTTGCTACGGTCTCCCAGAGAGGTTCGCCCAGCCACCACTTGGGCTCGTGGCTGGCCATCGTGAACTTGTCGCCGGTGTAAGGATCCGTGAAGTAGTTGTTGATGATGCCGTGGTAGGCCGGGTAGAGTCCGGTGACGATGGAGTAGTGGTTGGGGAAAGTCAGGGTGGGGAAGACTGGGATCAGTCCTAGCTCGGCCTCGGTCCCGTTGTGGATGAGGCGGTGGATGTTCGGAGTGTCCGCCTTGAACTGGTACCCGAACCGGAACCCGTCGGAGGAGATGAGCAGAACGACGGGGTTTTGGAGCCTGGATAGGGATCTCGAGATCTCGGCGGAGGGGGAGGGTGAGGAGGCGAAGAACAGGAAGGCGAAGGAGACGGCGGCGGCGATGGAGGCGGTGGTGGCGATGACGAGAAGGATGAAGGCGGCGGCGGAGGTGGGGAGTTTCGGCGGAGGTGGATCGTCGGTGGGGGTTAGAAGGGCGGCCGTGGAGGATGAAGCGTGGAGCTCGTAAAGTTGTTGTTCTTCTTGTTTAAGATCGATTGGCGATGGGTGAGTGCTATTGGCGGCGGAGATGGGCGGCGGAGAAGAAGCCATTGGGAGTGGACGGAGGTTGTGGAGAAGTGTGTGGACTATGAAAAAGGGAGGCGCTGACGTAGTTGTGTGGTAGATGAAGTGGGCATATTTATTTATTATTTAGGAAATTTGGGAAAATCATATGATTTGTTTCTATTGGTGTTCGCTCATTCATTAAGGACTTCATTGTTTATAAAATAATTTACTCAACTTTATTTCATATTCAACATCTAATTTAATTTTAACTCAACTCCGTTATCTTTAATATAATTTATATAATTAAATAATACAAACTAATTATTTTTACATATCACATTAACTTTAATTCAATATTCATCCACTCACATAATTTTAACTACATATCATTTCTATGATTTCCAATCATTTATCTCCTACTTTTACATCAAATCAATTTTAATCATTTTATTTTAAATATTATTTTAATTCATTCTTAAAATTCCACTAACAACTAACTATACTATCTTTTTCAAAATTAACTATAGTTAATCAAAATAACTCATTTTAAACAAATTATTTCATAAACAATCAAGTCCTAAACAAACATCTCTCAATTAAATATGTAGTCTAAACATATTTTTTCTTTCCAGATATTTATTTTTAAATAGTAAACATGTTTTTCCACAATTTTCTTATTAAAGCAATATATATTTTTGCTTTCTAAATATTGATTTTACAGGAATTATGTGGATACAATCATGTCACAATGTTAAATTTAATAAGTGTAAAATGACATTTGGACATGGAAATATGTGCAAGGACATTGAAGAGAATATCAATGCTCATTATACTATTGACAACATTTCATTCTTCGAGCTTCAAGATGCAGTTCAGAAGCTCATACATTGTAATAACATTTTGCACATAACAAAACACATGGACTCATAAATCTAATTGATGGCCAGGAGATATTGTTGAACTTCTTATGAAAAAGAGCTTTCTATACATATATTCTACATAAAAATCCAACGGTCGAATCTTTAATTGCATTTGGTCAAAGTTCCATGTGCAAAATTTGAAAATCCGACGGTGTTAGGTGAAGGCAGTTGGCATCGATGGAGGCGGCGGCCTGTGGTGGCGAGAAGAAGAATGTAAAGTTAGTTCTTAATTAGTAATTATTAATTAAGAACTCTTATCATTTAATTAGATTTTTAATTAATTGAATATCTCAATTGTAATGGATCGTTGAATCTTGATGAAAAAGTTAACATTTTGACCCAAAATCGATTAATGGACATAATATCGGATACCAAACTAATTAAGTAAAAATCCATTACAAAAAAAAAAACAAATAAAATTGACGTATGTTAAAAAAAGTTTTCTTAAAAATAATCACCATCCGAATAAATTTACGGCAAACATCACTGAATTTAATAGGGGCGGGCGTGGTTCGGGACAATCCGAGATTTGACATGTCCCAGTATCTATTTTATAAACTGATCCGAGAATGGTCCGAGACGATACACCGTCCTAAACGGACTGGGACAAAAACATTCAGGACCGAAACAAAGCATAATAAAAAAAATAAACTCAACCAAAGAGTATTAAGTCCATCAAACAATCAACATATTGAGTCCATTAAAAAATTAAATCAAACATACTGCTGATTCAAGTATTAGTACTGCATTTGTGTGCTAAATCCAATTAATGGGTAATGCATTGTTTAGCTGTTTTTATTTTTTAAGCCCAAATTGTTTATTTTGGCTTGAACGTATTATATTACAAATTCTAATTGCCTCTGAAGCCTAAATGCTAAAATAAGAACCTAATCACTTATTCTTAATTATGTAATTAGTGTTATAATATTAATATAAAATATAATAATAATGTAACCATATATATATATATATACATAGATATACATATAATATTTTGTACAACCTAATTAAACGGAAAGATTCGTAACAAAAATATTCAAAATCGATACAACATTGTTTAAAACGGGTTTAGGACCGAAAAACGAAAATAAAGAAAATCCTTCCAAATCTAACTCAACTTTAACTCAACCCCACTATCTTTAATATTATTCATATAATTAAATAATACAAACCAATCATTCTTACACATCACATCAACTTCAATTCACTATTCATCCACTCACATAATTTTAACTACCAATCATTTCCAATCATTTATTTCTTGATTTTACATTAAATCAATTTTAATCATTTTATTTTAAATATTATTATTATACATTCTTAAAATTCCACTAACAACTGATCATACCACATTTTTCAAAATTAACTATAATTAATTAAAATAATTCATTTTAAACAAATTATTTCATAAACAATCACCCCCTTATTTTTTCCGAGGAAGACCAAAAGAAATCTTATTTTTTCGAAGAGGATTATTTCGATCCAATTCAGTAAAAGAAATTTCGATTTTTTTTTGTCCACCCCTAAATTTAAACATGCTCCTTGTGGGACGACGTCGTTGTATCCCGTCTCCACATCACCCCGTCGAGGAGAACTGGTGAGTGAAATTTTTGACGAGCATCTTCAGTATCGGACTCCATGGCGGCATACTTAAGCATGGGTGAAGCTCACCGGCGAATTACCGACTACCTAACGCGCTTCTCCGACGCCGTCTCCTACCAAGATGGGAAATCCCTCAGCCGCTTGCTTTCTCTCTCCTCCGACTCTGCCCTCCTCATGTCCCTTGCCGACGCTCTCAACACTTTCCAGGTCTCCCCTTCTACTCTGTTGCTTTCTTACGCTAACCCTCTTTAAACAAGCTTGGCGTTTAGTGGTTTCGTTTATAGATTGAAATGGTTCACAAGTAGGTTTTGGGAATGTGAAATATGCTGATATTTTGAAATTGTTTGATTCGAAATTGGTTTTTGTTCGATTTGAGGTACTTGAAGTACTTGGATGTTGAGGTGTCAGGCCTTCTTCGTAATGTATACGCAATTGGATTTAATGTCTTGCTATATGATAACCCCTAACAAGCACCCGTCCAAATATATGCCGTAGTGTGAAAGTTCTTATGCCCGTAAAGCTCTCTATCGTATTTACAAATCTCCATCATATGATGCTATCTTACTGAATTAAGTAATGTTTTGTTCCAGCCATCCTTACTTGGAAGATTTAATTCCAAAATTACCATTATAAGGCTGTGTAGTGGGAGAGGTCAAAGGTTTCATCCTGATTTGGAAATGGGAAAATAAAGCTAAATACAAACTCATGATACATGGATAGTGATGGAGAAATGCCTATATGGTAGTATTTTTTTGAACAATCCTGTTTTACAAGAGTGTATAAAAAAGGACCAATTCTGCTATGACGTGCTTCCTTTTCTCTTACTAATGAAACAATCATACGAGCTCTAATCATGATGGTGATCTGAGAAGTGCATAAAAAAATATAAGTTAAAGCTTGTTTAATGATTCAGACTCCTTCAAATCGGCATTAATTTAATCTTTGTTGAAATATAAATATGTATTTACTTGGTATTAGGTTTTAACTTAAATGTGTATGTCTACAGGATGCCAACAGAATTATGAGGCAATCCGAGAAATTTTCGCAGTATGCAGACATTATAGTTCCTATATTTCGCGCCTTGCAGAGTTATCGGCTGAGAAATCTGGTCGAGTCTTATGTTGCCTTTGAGAAAGGGTCAAAGTATGTCATTTTTTGAATAAAGTTGATGGTCTATTGTAGTCATAAGTAAGGAGTATCTTAATTCTAAGGATGGACATTTCTAGTGCTTTTCTTCAGGAATTCCGAAACTGGGAATCAGCATGGGCTTTGGAAGCACTGTATGTGATGGCATATGAAATCAGGGTTCTTGCTGAAAGAGTAAGATACAAATTCATTCCTCCTTGTCTTTTTGGACAACTGTGCATAAATAGAAAACAAGACCAGCGAAAAGTCAACTAATTTTTACTGTTGCATTTGCAGGCTGATATAGAGTTGGCTTCATTAGGGAAAATCCCAGAGAAGCTAAAAGGTGCTGGATCGTTCCTCATGAAAGTGTTTGGTGTTCTTGCTGGAAAAGGGCCAAAACGTGTGGGAGCTTTATACGTCACATGCCAACTCTTTAAAATTTATTTCAAGCTGGGGACTGTCCACCTATGTCGCAGTGTGATAAGGAGTATTGAAACTGCGAGGATTTTTGACTTTGAAGAGTTTCCTGTCAGGGATAAGGTCACTTACATGTATTACACTGGTCGTTTGGAGGTGTACAATGAAAACTTTCCAGCTGCTGATCAAAAATTGTCGTATGCATTGGCACATTGTGATGCAAGGAAAGTCACAAATATAAGGTCTGGTAATAACTTGTCTATTATTTCATTTGCATTTTTTGTTTTTTTTTTTTCTTTTAAGTCGATTGTCATTACCAACGTGAATGTGAATCCTGAGCTGCGATCCATGGCATTTGTTGGCTTTCGTAATCATTAGTTTACTGCACGTGAAAGCGCTTTTCCTTTACATTAGTTTCATATCAATCTCAATGTTTTGAAATTTGAGATATGGTGATGTGCATTATATCTTGTTTACACATGGTCTACATTTATCTGCAAATCCTGATTAGTTAGATTTCTCTATTTTTCACTTTTCATGTGGAGACTGATGATTATTCTTAGAGCGCCGTCTCACTAGCTCTCTGTTATTGTTTTAATAGGATGATACTAAAGTATCTGATTCCTGTGAAGCTCTCAATAGGCATATTACCCAGAATCTCACTTCTTGAGAAGTTCAACTTAAATGAGGTATGACACAAAATTATGCAGAGTAACCCTCCGATGTAGTTGATGTGTTCAATGTTAGAATCACCAATTTGTCAGAATTGAATGGCACAAGTTTCTTCTTTCCTTTTGCTCTTCGAAGTTTTCTTATTGCTGTCGGTCATAGCAGTGGCGCAAGTTTAACTTTGGCGAATCATTTTAACTTATACCAGAATTAGTTTTGTGATATGCATTGAATTAAATTTGTGTTATTTTGATTGAATTCAAGTGTTTATACAAAGCAAGAAAATTTGTGTATCTCCTTGAAAGTAAGGTGTTCTTTTTCATTAATTTTTTGCAGTATACTGGTGTAGTGCTTGCTCTTAAAAGGGGTGATCTTAGACTTTTAAGACATGCTCTCCAAGAACATGAAGACAGGTACCCCATTTTCCCCCTATTCTCTATAGTACATGATTTTCTTCGATATTGAAATTAAAAAACAAAAGCATTGACACTTCTAGATCATTACAGATTCTTAAGGTCTGGCGTATACCTTGTTCTGGAGAAGTTAGAACTTCAAGTCTACCAACGGTTAATGAAGAAAATGTAAGTGGTGATGATCAGTAGGCCTTTATATTTGTGACCTTGGGCATACTATCCAGATTAAATGTATAATGTGTACCCGTTGCAGCTATATCATGCAAAAGCAGAAGGATCCAAATAAAGCTCACCAAATCAAGCTAGATGTTATTGTTAAAGCATTGAAATGGCTCGAGATGGACATGGATGTTGATGAGGTAATTTCTAACTTGATAATTCTCCCATCCAATACAATCTCAGATTTAGTAAAATTATTTTTTCAAATACCACCTTCAGCAAATTATCCATTGCCTATTTTGCTTTTAGTAATTTTATATATTTATAACATGTAAAAAAAATTATATGCTCTTACATGCACCGTATGATCTCCAATACTTGTGCAGGTCGAGTGCATAATGGCCATCCTGATTTACAAGAACCTTGTGAAAGGGTATTTTGCTCACAAGAGTAAAGTGGTGGTCTTAAGCAAACAAGACCCTTTCCCCAAATTAAATGGCAAACCTGTTGGCTCATAGATCTGTTGTACTACAATTTTTAGTTGTATTTTTTGTTGGCGCGTCTCAATTCTGGGCTACTATGTGAATGAAAATACTTGATGATAGAACAATAGAAGGGTTATCCTGGTCTCGAGAAATGTATGCTAAAACTTTGGAAGTCTCAGTTATAGAGATGAAGTTTCTCAAATTCACAGGTTGGGTGCTATGGACTAACCCCTAATTAACACATGCTTCTGTTATTTCTTTGTTTTTGTTCTTTTTTTTTGCATTTTTAGAGGGAGAAATTGAAAAAGATACGAGAGCAAATTTGATTTGAGAAGCTATATTCATCATTAGTTTCAATAAATGGTTATCATAGAATCAGAGAACAAAAAATATCTGGAAATCTTGTTTCATTGAACTGAACAATCAGCTACAGGAATAGGGGCGGGCACTGCATTTAAAGCCCGCTCAAATTCAAACCAAAGGCACGAACCAAAACGGCATCGTTTTGGTTCTTAAACTTGCTAGCTAAAAAAACAAAAGAAACGACACCGTTTTCACTTACAAAAACATAAACTAGAGAACACAAAACATAAATAGCGACTTCGATAAAAAAAAAACAGAAAAAATACCCAATGAACTTCCTAAGGTACTGCATGCACGAATGCAGCTCTCCCAAGCTTCAATTTCCAGATGTTTACTGCGCTCATGAAACACTGGATTGACTGTTATGTGCATGGTTGCCTTGTTAGCACACCAAAGTGTAATTGTGAGTGAAAAAAGATAAACCAAGATCAAGGCTTATAGAATGTAACCACTGCAATTGACAAACTGTTGCTCCCATAGACCTGTACTATGCCTCGGCTAATGAACGAGAGACTGTGGTTTGCTTCTTAATCTTCCATAAAATGAGATTATCACCTAGAAATATGCAATATCCTGTAATAATCTTCTAGTGTCCTTGCAAGCTGCCTAATCTGCATCACATTAGCTATCTAGAATTTGATTTGTTGTTGCCTTATAATGTAGGCCAAGAGAAGTTGATCCTTTCAAGTATTTCAGCACATGAACTGTAGGTTCCCAGTGTTTGGTAGAGGAATTATTTACAAATTGGCTAAGTTGTTGCACAATATAGCTAATATCTGATCTAGTTATGTTAAGATTTAACAATCCTCCAATCAACCTACAATAATTAATAAATATGACGTGAAAAAAGCGAAAAAAACATTAATTCAATAGCCTACAATAATTATTCGGTAGACATACTGCTTCCACAAATTTACATATTTTAAATAGAAATTGTCATATTTTAAAAAATAAGATAGAAATTAATAAATATGACGTGTAATAATATAACAAGTATATACTTTTATTTATAAAATATAATGAACGAAGCCCGTCTCACAAATAAATTGTCTCCCATAAAAAAATTGTATTTAATCGAAAAACATCCACCATAATAGATATGTGGATAAGGAAATTCTATCTCTGTTATGCTCATTTTCAGGTATTGAACACACCTCCTGCCACCACTCCTTAAAGTTTGCTTCCCTGTTTTGAATGTTATACCATGTAATGCCAGCAATTCTCCAGATTGTCCTTGCTCTCTCACAGGTAAACATTAAATGATTTATGTCCTCCTCCTCTTCCCCACACCAAGCACATATTGCCTCCTCCATGACACCTTTAATTTTCAGATTTACCTTTGTGCCCACCCAGTTATGATAGCACCTCCACAAGAAATTCTTGACTTTTGGTTTGATGTTGAGATTCCAGGTATTCTGCCACATGCTTTGCATCCTCTCCCTTGTTGAGCTAGACTCCACCACCTCCATGTTTCCTGCTTTCTTCCTCTGAATAAGTTTGTATGCCCCCTTCACTGAGAACTCTCCCTGCTTGTCACAATGCCAAACCCACCTATCCATCACATTTCTGTGACTTATGTGCATTTTCAATATATGAGCTGCATCCACAGGGTTAAATGTTTGATTTATCAAATCAATGTCCCACTGAGTTCCATTTGGAGTCATCAAGTCAGAAACTTTGCAAATTCTCTCCTTATCCTCTTCAAAACAACAAACTGGCTTAAAGTTATAATATTGGGGAATCCAAGGGGAATCCCAAACCTTTATAGACCTCCCATTACCTACCTGCCATCTAGCTCCTAATTTTAAAGCATACCTAGCCTCTAACCAGCCCTTCCACATCCAAGAGTCACTATCTTTTTTCTTCACCTCAAAAAGACTCTGCTTATGAAGATACCTACCTCTAATCACTCTACTCATCAAGATATTAGGCTCTGTAAGCACTCTCCACAGCTGCTTAATCAGAGCTTCATTAAAATCCACTAGGTCTCTGAACCCCAACCCCCCCTCACACTTAGCCTTGGCCAGTTTACCCCAATGACCCCAGTGAATCCTTCTACCCCCACCTTCAGTCTACCCCCACCAAAACCCTGCAATAGTCCTACAGATCTCATTACACACCCCCACAGGAATCTTAAACACTGACATGACATACACAGGTAAGGCACTAAGGATAGTCTTAATAAGCACCTCCTTGCCTGCCTCACTAATGTGAAATACTAGGAGAATGTCTACTGATTTTGAGCCCTTTAAAAGAATGGTGAAGACAGGCCTGAGAAATCAAATTTGAAAGGGCTTCAGACAAAATGACAAATAGGTAAGGGGATAAAGGGTCCCCTTGCCTAATGCCTCTAGAAGGAATCACAAGACCTAAATTCTGACCATTAATATTGAAAGAAAAAGATGTTGAACCAATGCAAGACCAAAACCAAGCAATGAATTTGTCATTAAACCCCATATGCTTACACAGCCTCAAGAGAAAACTCCACTCCACTCTATCATAGGCCTTGGCCATATCCAATTTAATGGCCATGAATCTAGCTTTACCCCTTTTCCTACTATTTAAATAGTGAATGCATTCATTTGCAATTATAACATTGTCTAATATCTGTCTGTTTGGGACAAAAGCTGCTTGGGAATTTGAAATACACACATGAAGAACCCCTTTAAGTCTATTAGCTAAAATCTTGGCAATGATTCTATAAGTGATAGTACAGAGACTAATGGGTCTAAAATCAGCCACTTTCTGAGGGTTTTTGACTTTAGGAATAAGGGTTATGACAGTGTGATTTGTAGCTTTTGGAATAGTTTAATCGAAAAGTTAGAAGAGTGGGGATATGTAGAGGAGAGATTTATTCCTCATTGGTGTGTGAACAAAAAATATTTTCATTTTATAAAAGTCTGTTTCACATTTGAATTTGAGGCACGTGCGTGCATGTCCTTGTCAGGCTCGGCTCCACACCTGAACATATAGATGATTTGTAGTAGTTGTTCTCACACTATTAACTAACAATTAGAGTGTCCAGTCCAGTATGTAGAAAATAAAAATATTTATCCAGTAAGGGTCATTTTGGTTGCAAAAAGTGATTGGGCTTGATATAATCTTTCTTGATAAAATCAAAGGCTATTCATTAATTCAATTAGCCCATTAACTTATTTGGTTTAAGATTGAAAATTATATCTCTTAGGTTGAAATTATTTTTCTACTCCTCATTCAAAATACAATTTTCATAATTTGTCCTTGTTTACATAAACACTACCCAGTTCAAGTTTTCTCATGCTTCCTCATCTCAAATTGGTGTCCGAAATTCATCCCAAAACTAAATCATAGATTAGACCAGAAAATTATTATTTTTTGTCATCATCCTTCCTCACCTCAACTTGAATGTGCACCAAATTCATCCCAAAATTTACTCACAGATTAGGACCAAAAATTAATATTTTTTGTCTTACATGCACAATTAAAAAAACCCCAATTGACAAGGAAAAGAAAGTCCACCAGAAAAAAATAGATAGAATCTGAAAAATTGACGGCGGTGTAAGATATTCACATCCTTGGCGAGGTAGGAGAACCGGTGGCGGGTGCCGCCGTGGACGGCAGTGCGATTCTTCTCGGAGTCGGAGCGGTAGCGCTTGCGGGGGTCTCTTTCTATTTTCTTTTTGTGTCAGAGGAGGGCGGATGTCTCGACGAGGGACCGGGGTGGCGCCGAAGGCGGGCAGAGGGGAGAGCGAGGGTGGCAGTGGGGATGGAGGCGGCGGAATGTCGTCGGGGATGAACATGAGAATAGAGGGATGGAACGATGAAGAGAATAGAAGATGAATGTTTTAGGGTATTTTAATAATTTGATGAGAATGATACCCCATCCCATAAAGAAGGTCGGATATCGAATAACAAAAAAGAGGAAAAGTAACCGGGCTTTTGCGGGTTTAACGGGCTATACAAAAAACAACCAAATAAAATAAATGGCTTGATACATTAACAAATAGCAGGATATCAAGCCTAATCCTTCCAACCAAACTCACCCTAAGTATATAAGATATAAATTGTAACAATAATAAACCGTCCGATAAAGAATATGAGACGGAAGAACCAATTAGGAAATTAAAGATTATATTACTTACAAAATTCAATGCCTCCTTTCGTTGAAAAATAAACTGAAAAGATTACAAAATATAATAAAACTCTATTGAAAATGATACTGCATCCTTTTTATAAAAATAATTGACGTTCTGAAAAAAATGAGGATTAAAAGTTCATGCTTTATCTAATATTATTCTCCGTTAAATCTTCACATGACATATTTAATTTATCAATTTCCTAATAATTTATCCTTTTCTTTTTATACTTTAAGTATTTTCTCCAATTGTTATATTCAAATTATTCCTTTACCACTTTATAAGATTTGTTTTATTATATCTATTACTATATAATACGGAGAAGAAAAATTATTTGAACAATCCAAAAAAAATCATTTCGTTTTCCCGCTTCAATATAATGTTTTTCCCGCTTCTTCAATTCGTAATTTTTTTTTTGAATTTTTTCAGCCCATGCAATTAGGTAACCAATAAAATCGAATCTTTTAGTATTCAATTTGGTAAGGTGTTCCAATTTTAGCATTCAAATCCGATTTCACTTCCTTTTGTTTTATGCCAATCAATCCGATTTTTTTTGTTGTTTCAAAATTTTTTTAGATTTATATTTTTATTTATTAATATATTTGAAAGAGAATCAATAAATGTTTATCATAACTTTTATTTTAAAAATAAATTTGAATAAGCATACCTTTTACTTTATATGAAATTCAAAATTACATATTTTAATATATTAATATACGTTTATTATTTTATTTTTTCCTTATGTGATAGAGTAGAATTTCGGTATTAAATTTGTAAATTCAAACATTTAAAGGAAAAGATTCCAAACAATTTTTTTGGGTAAATTTCATTTTATCTTGGTTTTCATTATCACATTTCTAACAAACTAATTAGTATTATATTTTTTTATCTACATTATCTAACCGATTTTTTATGATACAATTAAATAATATCTTAACAAATTAATCATTTGTCTAACCGAATTTATCTCTCTAACAAACTTGCCAATTTTTTTAAAATTAACATGGTATGATTATTCTTATGGAGATACTTATCAATATATTAAGTATTTAGAAACTTTTTTTAAAAAATGAGTTATCCCTCCTTTTACTTTATTTGAAATTCGGACGTATATTTTTATATATATTATTTTTTATTTTTTTACATGTAAATATTTATTATTTAATATCTATGTGATAAATATTATTGATTTATCTCCTTAATAAATATTTATTATTTATTTTTTTTTCCTTACGTGATATAATGTAAATTTGGTTATTAGATTTTTAAATTCAAACATTTAAAGGAAAAGACCACGAACAAATTTTTTGGTTACATTTCATTTTATTTTAACTTCCATATAATCACAATCCTAACAAACTAATTAGTATAATATTTTTTTACCCATCGGATTTCTTAAAATATAATTAATATAACATTTTAACTATTTAATCATTTGTATAACTTGATTTAACTCATAATCAAACTTGCCAAATTTTTTTTTGAAATTAAAAAAAATTGGAAGATTTTTATTTGTAAAATAATTAAAAATAGCTTTACTTTAAAGTCTGGATTATTTCCATTATTTTTTGTACGTTAACAATCATATATTTTGGATTATTGATTTAAAAAAACAAATCAAAACCGTAAGGTTTAATAATATTCCTTAAATAAAAAATATTGTATAAAGAAAAGTATTTAATAATATATATTTTTCATTGATTGTATTTATTTTATTTTCATAATAGACGAGATGTGAAAAATATAAATAATTATATTTAAAATAAAGTCTAAAAAATATTTAAAATATGAACTCTTCCGTGCATCGCACGGGATATACACTAGTAATTGAAGTAATAGTCTAAAACTATAAATATTTAAAAAAAAAATCTAAAATGACATTTGATTATGAGGGAGGAAGTAAGATAATTAAAATTTAGTACATAAGATGTTAGTCACTGACTAAAATATGCACCCATAATTTTATAAAGAATGAATATTTTTACTATGAAATTCATATTTGTCATTATATTTAATTATATGGAGAAACAAGATACTTCGAAACATACTAATTTTCTCCCTTCCTCGCTTATTCTAATCACAATTAATGTCATTCAACAACAATTCTAGCAAGTTCCACGCAATAAAAGGAAAGCAATAAAAGGAAAGCAAATTAACAAAAGAAAGTTAACAAAGAAAATCACGACCTGAATCTGACTCCTAATTATGCATTAGACAATTCCATGATTTTTTACCTTTCCTTTTTTTCTTGGGGTTAAATTTTTTAATGAAATATATTGCAAAGTCCGGGGTCAACAAAGTCTCCTTTCTTGAAAACGTGAGGATTGTTGTTTATACAAGACCCAAAATAAATAAATAAATAATAATAATAAAATATTTTAAATATATATATATATATAAATGCCTTCTAAAACCCCCCTACAAAATAGAGCCCATAGCAAAAGAAATTCATACAATTAATAAAAAGCTAAGTTGAAAGTAGGTGCTGATTTTTGATTGGTAGAATGGGCGACGAATTTTTTGGGCACAGACGAGGAGGAAGAGGAAAAGGGCTGCTGATTGGTTCGTTGTGCGGCGGCGCACCGGCGCAGGCGCAGGGGATTGAACAGCTTTCGAGCAGCCGCCAAAGCTTCTCGACTGGGATTCTTCCTTCTCTTGGCGCTAGAAGCAATCGCACCATAAAGCTTCGATCTTTCATCATCTCACCCTATGACCGTCGTTATAGGTCCTAAAAATTTTTATTTTTTTCTTGCTGAATGAAATTATGTGCGTGCGTACGTAATCGTGCGTTTCTTTGCATGTTGTTCTTGGTAATTGGTATGGTTTTTGTCTGATTTTTTATTTCTTTGATTAAAGACTATGTTTGTTTAGTATTTCAGTTCTGGGTTTCGTTTACGTTTTTCTTTTGTTCATTTTCTGTCTTAATTGTCGAAATTTCGTTGTAGTTTTTATCTTTTGTTTTGTTCTGTTTTTTGAAATTTACATAAGAGATCTGATGTATTTAGGTAATTCATAGTTGATTTGTTAATTCTACAAGAAAATATAACGCATAGGATCTCTGTAATATTTGAATGCTTCGAATTGAATTTTTTCTGGACTTGTTTTGACTTGTCCATTGCAATCCTTGATTTTTAGTTTACTATTTTGTTTTTCTTATTCAGTCAAAAAGCAAGAGTTATAACATGTTGACTTGATTATTATTTGTCTTGAATGGACTTTCAACACATTCCCTGTGGTTTGGTCTCCTTCTAGGAGATCACCCATCTTTTTTCACAATATTGCTTAATAATTACAATGAGTATGAACCAGACATGTTGATGTACAGTACAACTTTCTCAAAGGTTGCCCGGGACATTTTGTCATTGGTAAACTAACTTACAAATAGAGTTTTAAAGATGAGTTATTATGTGTTTGTTTAATTGTCATTAGTAATATAGATGTATTATTATTTTTTTTTTTTCAATTTTGGCTTCATAATTTCCCTTTGAAGATTTTTATTTTGTTTAATGTATTTCCTGAAAAGAGACTTTTCTTTACTATTAGTCTTTGGAATAACTTACTTTGAGTTCTCAATTAGAACTTTGTATGCAACTGTAGCTGAAACTTATTTTCATATTCATCCGTGCACGTGGTACCTTTCTTGCCACATAAATGCAAGTATCCAATTTTTCCAGTACACAAAGTTGACAGTCTTAAAATATTAGAACAATATTCTTCGTTTCGCAAGAAAATATCTAAAAAAAATTTTCACCTTCGAATTAATTACTGTGGCAGAGCATGGGAGACTTTTCTTGTTGTTCTTGTTGTCTACACGGCCTGGGTTTCGCCATTCGAGTTTGGTTTTCTCGAAAAACCTCAGGGACCTCTTTCAATCATGGACAACGTGGTTAATGGCTTTTTCGCCATTGATATCATCTTAACATTCTTTGTGGCTTATTTGGAAAAGAGCACTTACCTTCTTGTGGACGACCCGAAAAAGATTGCTTGGAAATACACGACTTCTTGGCTCGTGTTTGACATTATATCCACAATCCCTTCCGAACTCGCTCGTAAAATCTCCACCTTCCGTTTTTATGGCTTATTCAACATGCTCCGTCTCTGGCGTCTCAGACGAGTCAGCGCCTTGTTTTCTCGGTAAAAAATTATGCTTTTTCCTTATTTCTTATATTATTTCTTTGTTTAGTTGTTTATTTATTTTTATTTCTTTTGGCTTACTATTTTTCTAACGACAGACTGGAGAAGGATAGGAACTTCAACTACTTTTGTGTTCGGTGCGCAAAGCTTATATGTGTAAGCCCACATCATTCAAAAGTCTTGTTTAAATAATCTCAAATTTGAAGGAAAAAAAAAAAAATCAAATCGTGGATTTGAGTTATTGAGTTCCCTTGTGTAGGTTACCTTGTTTGCTGTTCATTGTGCCGGTTGCTTTTATTATGTGCTGGCGGCTCATTACCCCAACCCCTCGAATACTTGGATTGGAGTAGGCTTTCCCGATTTCCTTAGGCAGAGCCTATGGACTCGTTACGTAATGTCAATATACTGGTCAATCACAACTTTGACTACTGTTGGGTATGGTGATTTGCATGCACAAAACACGAGGGAAATGTTATTCTGCATTTTGTACATGCACTTTAACTTGGGGCTCACGGCATACATAATTGGAAACATGACGAATTTGGTGGTACATGGGACTAGTAAGACGAGGCGATTTGTAAGTAATTTCGTTCATTCTTTGCGTTTTTTGTCGTTTACTATATATGTATGGTTATCGATCTGATTAATTTTTTATTTTTTATTTATTTATTTTTTTTTTTTTTGGGTTTGGGATAA